TCGAGGCGAGCCTGAGCTGTATGATCAGCTAATTGAGGTGATTTATCTTTCTCTTGAATTTGCGCAACCATCACTGGAGGGTCCCTTTAAAGCCCTGCGTTATATTCTTGGCGTTCAGAACTGGGAGGCCATTGCGACCTCATATTGGATCCACGAAGCTTTGGCCCTCATACAACGTGCTCGAGGACCTTTACTTTCCCAATTTCAAGGTCCGATTTCAGCCCTAGCCCGTGTAGATGGAGCTTGGGCTCATGTATGCTGGGTACGATGTTTTGGCGAAATCGCCATAGCTGCTTCTCAAAACCGCGAACGCGAAGGAACCGACATGATATTGCTCTCAACCATAGGGGCTGATCTCTCATACAATCTATCACGGCCATATCATTTGCTTAGCTCCTCTTCTTCCACTTCTTGGTCCCCGCGAAACCACACGCTACCGGCATGTACGCTGTTGGAGGCTATTTCAGCTCTCGCATTACATCATCCCCAAATCATGGTACAGTTTGGGCTCAGTGAGATGCTGCTACGGTACCTTGCCAAAAACTTCAATTGGTTTGCACCTGTACTTTCTCTTGAGACCATGTGTAGGGCTTCACAAAATTATGAGGCTCTCGGCTATTTATATGAAGCAATGGGAGAGAGTGATGGTGCATTCGGGGCACGGAGATGCCAGGCACGCCACGGGCAGACCATTCTTGCGAGCTCGCTGGAACAGGCCGAATATCTTGAAGGTGCACAAGTAGTTTTGGAGGCTGCGCAGGCTGTTGCGCGAGCAGGACGTCTTGCCACAGAACCACTTGTCAAGAACGAAGTTGGAAACATCGTCAACATCATGAAAGATCCGTGTGATAGTACCGCTTGCCCTAGCGGTGATGGATCTTCCTTTTATTATGATGCTTATGGTGCCCGGAAAGGTTCATCTTGTGATGCAAAAAAGTCTGAAAATGCCTCTTCCCATTCATTCGGAGAAGGCGGGGATGAAATGCAACAATGGCAGGAGCGATGGATCGCTGCTGCGCGGCGGCTGCAACAATGGGACGTTTTGGTTGAACTTGCAAAGGTAGACAATGACATCGACCTCTCACTTGATGCATCTTGGCGCTTGTTGGACTGGAGCACCTCTAAAGATCAAGCCGCTGTGCGCGCGGCACTAGAGCTTGTTGCGGATGCCCCAACACCTAAGCGTCTTTTTTACGATGCTCTGCTTCACTTACATCAAATCATCACGGGAGTTGTTGGAAATATCGGCGGGGGCGGTACTGGTACCAGCGCTGGTGCTGGCCTTTCTGGTGGGATCCATGGGCCAGGAGCTAACGCATCCTCTGGATCAACAGTCCTCTCTGGTCGGCGTGTCGCTGAGTTGGGCCGCCTTATCGAGGAAGGTTTCCAGGTGACTCTTGCACAATGGGCCGCCATGCCATGGCCACTTATCGGCTCATCTCAAAATGATTCGCTATCAATTCTCTTTCAGCTTTTTGTGGAAGTGCAGGAAGCTGCCGGACTTTTCCTTGGTGCTGGAGGCGGTGGAGCGGGCAATCTTCACCTTTCCAATGCATCACCGCTCCAGCCCCAATTGACTATGGTGCAAGAGCTCAGAGGAATCTTGGGCACCTGGCGGGAACGGCTTCCCTCCATCCATTATGATTCCATTGGGGCATGGTCTGAGCTGGCTGCTTGGAGGCAGTCTCTCTTTTCGGCCATCAATGGGCTCTTTGCAGCCACCGTTACGGAACTAGACAACATGGTGATAATGGGTGGAGCCGCAGGTCCTGGCAATATGAACGCCCCATCTACGGCCCCATCTTCGGCCTCTTCTGCTGCATCTTCTGGAGGAACCCTGATTTATCGCGGTTATCATGAAAGCGCATGGCTGATCAATCGCTTTGCGACTGTAGCTCGTCGCCATCGTCTTCCAGATATTTGCGTACAGCTGCTCAATAAGATTTACACGCTGCCCAACATCGAGATTCAAGATGCTTTTTGGAAGTTGAGCGAGCAAGCACAATGCTATCTTGATGCATTTTACGATCCGCTGTCAGCACCATGGCTGACAGCGGCCGTACCACTTCACGCTGCTGCTACGTTTGGTGGTGCTAGTGGAGGGGCTACAAGTGCAAATACGGACACCAACAGCAGCACGGCACAAGCCACCGAAGGATGTGCGGATGACCAAGGCGCAGCCAAATCCAGTTCCACGGCATGCTGTGCGTCTCCGGGAACGTTGTTGCTTGTAGCTGGGCTTGAGATTATCAACTCTACAAATTTGGCATACTTTGGCGCCTCTCAAAAGTCGGACTTTTTTTCCCTTAAAGGCCGTTTTTTGGAGGCTCTTAACCTCACCGGAATTGAAGAAGCAAACAAGGTTCACTCGCAAGCAGTACAGCTGGACATCAACCACGGACGCGCCTGGGCTGCCTGGGGTCATTATAATCGCCGCCGCTTCCGTGCATTTATCGCCAAAAAAGAAGAAGAAAATCATGATTTGGGCGTGGAAGCTGCTGGCACGTGCTCCGCAGATGAATCCTCATTGACCGCTGGAAGATCTCCTGGCCTAGCAAAACCACCACCATGTTCGCTGAATATCACATCCGCCACTTCACTGGGGACAACCTCTCCGTCGACGTTGACCTCATTTACTGCATTGACACCGTATCCGGAGGAGCCTAACGCACAAACATTTGCAATGCATGCTATTCACTGTTACTTGCAGGCAATGATTCTTGGAACATCCTCTTCCTCTTCTGCGTCTCATCACCAAAATGCCAACCAAAGACGCAATGATCCTTCAACAGCATCATCTTCTGTGGCATCTGCCTCTTCTTCTGATCCAAACGGGACAAACTCATCTTCGCATGAGCGCTCTTTTTGCGATGAAGATGCTGAGGATCTCCGCTATGGCTCTGGACTGAGCAATGGGTGCACGCACAGTCAAGCTTTGTTACTTGCTTCTATGATTTTGAAGATGTTGCGAATGGCGCCAGAGCTTGCAGGCATTTTTGATCTGTATTTGGCAGAGCTTCCTTTGGCTCCGTGGCTACCGTTTCTGGAAGAAATGCTTGATGACTTGCGAGATTCTCCGGGCTCTAGCTCAACCATGGAGCTAGGCTCCAGGCTACGAAGCTTATTGCAGCGCATTGGACGCCTTTTCCCGAATCTTCTCTTTTATCCGCTTTCAGCACGTATTCGAAGCAAAGCTTTGGATTCTAATGGAGACGAAATGGCAGCGCTATTGTCTATGCTACGGGCAGTCCATCCTTTGGCCACGGAGACAATGATCATCTTTTTGGGGGAAGTGCAAAACAGCCTAATGTCGGCAAAGAAAAACAATCACCTGCCCTCAAAAAAGAAACGGTGCAATGTGGTAGTGAGCCCTGTGCATGTAACTTCGCGTTGGCTTTCTTCGTTCCCACGTCTCCCAATGGATGATGAGCTCGAATTACCTGGTCAGCGTTTGGTATTACCACGCAAAGGCGATACTGGGGCATCATCTACAAAAATCGACTCCTTTGGTGCCATCCTGCGCCAAACAGATGGTCATTATGGGCTTGTGGTATATCTTAGTGATGGCAGTGTGCGGGCTATTACCATTTTTAATGACACCGAAAGGGTCAATGCCATACTTGGTGCGGCCACAGCATCGCGGCTTCTTTGGATGCTGGGCGGAGTTGCCTCAAAGGGGCGTCTGGTTCGCCAACGGGCATCTCCGCTGCTCACGTGGAATTCATCTTTGTTGCCACTAATTGCCTCTGATGCTCTGAATGGAAATGGATCCTGCATGGTTGTTCTTGCATCTCCAGACATCATTGTAGACCCGCTCTCCATGGCTCAATGCTTAAATACGACCACCGGCGCCGCTGCTCAGCCGGCGGAAGTAGAAATTGCAACGGCAGGGCCAATGAAGCCCCAAACGCCGGCTAAAGAACAGGACATACAGATGGCGTGTTCCTCAGTACTGGCAGCATTCGTAGCTGCACGGCTGGCCAATTCTCAAGACTATTGGCTTTATCGCAAGTCGTTTGCACTACAATGGGCTGCTCTGATCACGGGATGGAGCATCCTGGGAAGCGTACGGCAGCGCGATTTAGCCTCAATTGGGTTAGGCCCTTTGGCGCACGGTCGGCTCTCCTGGATTGGCGCTGCGCTGTTTGAGCGTCTTGACGCTACGGCACATGAACTGGCTTTATCAGCCACTGAACGGGCTCCAAATGCCTCGCAAGAAATGTCGACGCAGCCCAACTCTGCTTGTGCTATCAAAATTGACCCTTCATCGCTGCGTTATGATACCCAAGCACCGGGTATGCGTGTGCTGCATGCTCCCCTTGTGTTCCGTATGGGACCTGCACTGCAAACATTCTTGGGCCGTGTTTTTGTAGATGGGCTCTTTGTGCCATCCGTGCATGCCCTTGCGGATGAACTTTCCCATCGCTCTGAAGAAATTAGCGATCTCTTTGATCTTCTAGCTGGTAGCCAGCCAACGATGGAGCAACGGGTTCGTGGTCCCTCTATTCATGCACGAGGGGCTTTAGAACGCATCAAAGTTCTTGCTTGCGAGAAAGAAAAGGACATCATTTCTGCACATGTCTCTGCTTACGTGAGCCAGGTCGTCTTTTCCCAAGAAGACATTCAGGATGGGGGATCAACAGCAGCCGGAACCCAAGCTACCGTCCAGAGCGAATCCAAGGTCAAGCAACCACTGCCAGTCTCACTTTATGCACCTATCGTCGAGCTCATTTCACAGGCATCGAAGGCCTGTCAAGATATTTCTGGCGTGGACCCACGATGGCATCCTGAATTCTGACCTAACCCTGATGGTCACCAAGTCAGACTCCCGGTGGTCGTGGCATCGAAATTGAAATTTCCTTTTGCCATCTATCATTAGCGTGTGCCTTGGTATGCTGATCTTTGGCTCACCGATTTTTGGTCGATAGCCGCGGCTCAATTGAAGGATGCGCACTTATCAGAGGTGTCCGAAGTTTGAATAAATTTTGTACATTTAAGTGATGGTGATACCGCCATTTTGGACGTCCAAATACCTTTCTGAGTGTGGTGAGAAGAGCTGGAATCTCTTTTATCGTCGTAACAAGGACCACTTTTTCCGTGATCGTCACTGGCTCGGTACTGAATTTGCAGAGTTGTCTGGAGAGGGGGAAGGTCATTTCCTGCTTGAGATTGGGTGTGGTGTAGGGAATCTGCTTTTTCCGTTACTTAGAGAGTTTCCATTGCTGCGTTGCTATGGTGTCGAGATATCCACAGAGGCAGTAAAGCTGATCATGGAATCACCCGAATATGAGCGGTTTGCACATCGGCTTTGGGTGGCCGCTTTTGATTTTGCCACAGATATCTCTCAGGGTCAATTGGCCCTTGGCCTTCCCATGCACAAGAATCAAGACATTAACTGTAATTTTGGCATGCAAGGCCTGTGCTTGGATGCCAGTCCAGCCCCAACATGGAAGAATTTTTACTCCCTACTTGACACGACCAAGATGCATCCAAGCTTTACACTCGCGACGCTCGTCTTTATGCTTTCAGCAGTACCTCCAGCCAGCCATAATCTAGTGGTCCGGAATGCCTTTGAGGTAAGCCTTTCTGCATTGAATCCTAGCTCCTCCGGCCAGGTAGTGTGCTCTTCTTCCGCGATTATGCAGTTAATGATTTGGCACAGCTCCGCTTTAAAGAGGACAGAAAAATTGACGAACATACTTTTGTACGGCAGGATGGGACGCTTTCCTTCTTCTTTTCTGCAGGTAGGCCTCCACGCTTTACTTTTTATGTTTCCTATCATCACCCGTGATTCGGGCTAACTTTACCATTAACCATACCCTTCACCGATCCCATTTGACATGCCCATTTACTATTTATTGGCAGAGTACGCGAAGGCGCTTTTTTCAGGAGCAGGATTTGTAGTCCTGGAAAACAGGTACGTCACGCGGCGGACCGTGAACGCGAGAGATGGCCTCGATCTCGAGCGCACATTCATACAGGCGCGCTGGCTTAAACCAAGGAGCCTTCAATAAACTAATCATACAACTAGACCAAAACAAATCAAAGGGCGGAGTCAGAACGCTAGCGAAATGGAAATTAAACCCCCCCCCGATTTCCAAATGAGACGAGACCCTGCGGTATTTATAGCTAGCCTAGAGCCTGCGTAATACGGGCAGGTGGGTATGCGCGTTGGCAAAAGGAAATCAACCGCTTGATGGACTGGATCCACTTGCGTTGACGCTCATCGTTTAGCACATGTGCTACCTGATTCGAGTGAATACGCTCCCGAGCTGAACGCTCATGTATACAAACCATGGTTACGCCAATAGGCCATGGCGCATTACCTATTGAGAGGCGTATATAGGCGTCGTTTGCCTTGACATATTGTTTCGTCTGCAAAAAGCCGACAATCTCCATAAGGTGTTCAATCACCGAGTCCGGAATATTTTGTTCTTGCAAAAGCACAAAAAACGGCATCAAATATTGGCTGGTTTGGGTAAAAATTTCGGAAAGAAACTGCTTGTTCCTGACAACAGGCTGCAATTCGCTAATCACCTTCAGATGCAAAGATTCAGGCTGGTCCATTTTCGTTTCGACGCCCTTCAGGGCCATTTGATTTTCCGGAAATGCCCTGGGCTTATGCTCGTGGGGCAGTTGAGGATGGAGCACCTGTCCGTTGGTTGGTTCTTGCCGGATCTCGGCCTTTTCCCATTCTAGTAGCAATTTTCTAATGTGAGAAATTAAAATGAACAAACTTGAAAAATAGGAAAAGGAACTCGTGTGATGTCATGCCGTGTTCTTTGTTCATCTTGAGATCGAGAGAAAGTGTGTCTTGATGCTCGAAAAGAAGCGTGGAAAATCGGTTCTCCTCTGAATTTTCAATTGTGTTTATCTTTATCGTTGCAGCTTTGCTGTAAGAAGCTTGGTGGGGTAATGCTTCCTTTTTTTCTGCAGAAGAAATAGGCTGACACGGAACAGTCTCTTGTGGGGGAATGCATCTCTTTTTGACCAATTGGCGCTCCTCATGTGCAGATAGATACGAGTTCACGCGCTCTTTTTCAATATCTCTTCTTGCAACGTACAATTTACGTGATTCTGAGCGTGTATATTCAAGTGATGCCTTTTTCGCCTCTAATTCGGCTTTCAATGCTTGCATGTGGAATTGATATTTTAAATTTTAATTTTATAGACCCCTCTTAATGGCGATTGGCGCACCAACAAACTTCGAACTAACTATTTTTGGCGGTTAAATTCCGATACATGTATCCCAATAGCGTAATTGTGGAATTACTTGCATCAATCAACGCGCCCTGTGCAGCCTTCATATTCATATTCATATGATCCAAGTTATCCATTTTATCTTGATTCCAAATATATATTCCCTTGAGCAGATCTAAAGGTTCGAGCTTTTCACCCAAAATGGGTATCTTTAATACACCGCTCGTCAAGCCTTGAAGCGAAAAGGTGAAATTTGAATCGTTTTTAGCAACATAGTTTCCCAATTCCCAGATTTTACCTTTTGCCCCTTTAAAAGAAAGGGTGTTGTCTTCTTTCACGGTAATATTTACACCATGGGATTGAATTACAGCTGGCACCAGTGCATGATCAGCCCATTTCTTGAAATGAGTAGATACAGCATACCGTAGTTTCTGCTCCTCTTCAGCAGCATTTGAATAATTGCCTTTGAAAAACTTTTGTACTAAATCTTCGTTTTTTAGAGTTTTCTGGTCAAAAAACTGGGATATTTCGTCGTCGTTCTTGAGAAAAGAGTCCAAGTTTTCCGTAAGGATCAAAAGAAAGCTTTGTCGATTGTCAACACATTTCATGTGGTGATCTAATTCATCACGAAAGGTTTCCCCAGGAAAAGATTTGTTATTAACAAAGCCTCTAGAAATGAAAAAGATTTTGAGAAATGATTCGATAGACTCGGTGCAATAAAAAGACCTAATCCATTTGGGTGGGCTGCTAGTTTCGTTGGACGGGATTTTTTCTGCAGTAAAAAAGCCATCCTGCCTGGGAAAGTAAAACATGGGCTTCAATGCTGAAGGAAAATACGTCCTATCTTGAGACCCATTGAAGAAAACATAAAAGTCGGTCACATTTTTCAACCTCCATGTGTAATCAGGATATTTACCTGCGAAATTACAGAATAATCCATTAGCTCTGTTGTATTCAGCTTTTTGATCTTTGGAGGAATCTGTGGGGGAATCTGTGGAGGAATTTTTGGAGGAATTTGTGGATGAATCTGTGGGGGAATTTGTGGAGGAATTTGTGGAAGATATGAAATAAGCGCTAAAGCCGATCACCGTGCATATCCCAGCTAGCTTGAATATATAAGTATGAAGATGCTTCGATCGAGAACGTGCCGGAACGGCCAGACCATATGCAACTCTTAACGCAAGTAGCGTAGCGATGCAAATACACGCTGTAATTGCTACAGTCAGCATGCCATCTAAACCCGTATAGTGGGTCTGCATCTTTTTTATGGAATTTTTTAGCCACATAAATGTGTCACCGTTCTCGTGTTTTTAATCGTTGTGGCTCTGGTTTTGAAAAGCCCGACATCGTCTGGGGAGCCATCAACTGCGGCTGCAGCTGCCACGCCCAGTGCCATCTTGATCCCCAAAGTCGAAAACGCCTCCTCCAAAACATCGCGGATAATCTCACTCCAAAAACAGGACTCATTTATGTGGCTAAAAAATTCCATAAAAAAGATGCAGACCCACTATACGGGTTTAGATGGCATGCTGACTGTAGCAATTACAGCGTGTATTTGCATCGCTACGCTACTTGCGTTAAGAGTTGCATATGGTCTGGCCGTTCCGGCACGTTCTCGATCGAAGCATCTTCATACTTATATATTCAAGCTAGCTGGGATATGCACGGTGATCGGCTTTAGCGCTTATTTCATATCTTCCACAAATTCCTCCAAAAATTCCTCCACAGATTCCCCCACAGATTCCTCCAAAGATCAAAAAGCTGAATACAACAGAGCTAATGGATTATTCTGTAATTTCGCAGGTAAATATCCTGATTACACATGGAGGTTGAAAAATGTGACCGACTTTTATGTTTTCTTCAATGGGTCTCAAGATAGGACGTATTTTCCTTCAGCATTGAAGCCCATGTTTTACTTTCCCAGGCAGGATGGCTTTTTTACTGCAGAAAAAATCCCGTCCAACGAAACTAGCAGCCCACCCAAATGGATTAGGTCTTTTTATTGCACCGAGTCTATCGAATCATTTCTCAAAATCTTTTTCATTTCTAGAGGCTTTGTTAATAACAAACCCTTTGTTATAAAAATATTCGAACTCAGTGTCTGGAATATTATGTCCAAATCCATGTTTCGCTTGATCCTTACAGAAACCTTGGAGTCTTTTCTCAAGGACGACGACAAAATATCGCAGTTTTTTGGCCAGACAACTCTAAAAAACGAAGATTTAGTACAAAAGTTTTTCAAAAGCAATTATTCAAATGCTACTGAAGAGGAGCAGGAACTACGGAATGATATTCTTCGTTACTTCTTCGAATGGAATTCTCATGTACTGATGCCAGCTGTAATTCAATCCCACGGTGTAAATATTACCGTGAAAGAAGACAACACCCTTTCTTCTAAAAGGGAAAATTTGGCTCGTTGGGAATTGAACAACCCAGACGCTGGAAACGATTTAAATTTCAAATTTTCGTTGGAAAAATTCAAGAAAGGTATATTAAAGATACCCCCCTTTACTTATGAGTTCAAATATGGTGACGAGCTCAAGATAATACGTTATTTTGATGAAAATGAATCCAAAGACTTTCGCTATCCAAAGGGCCTGTTGATTGATTTGCAAGAAAACAAAATGAACCTATTGGGATATATGTATGAAGATGAATATGCAGAGACCGGACAGTCGTTATCTTCATTTTTTGAATCTAAGCCGGAGACTGCAAACAGCCCCCAGGTTATTGAGGCTTTTAAACGCCTGTTTGCCTCGATAAATAGCTTGAGATCGCACAATATTAGTCATGGAAACATTGTGGTCACAAACATCTTTGTTACCACACAGCAGAATGGAATGTTTAGCTTTTCCATTGGAAACTTTAAACAATTCAACCAAGAAGACCCTATTTCTTTTACTTCCGACATCAAGTCGTTTGCGGTGTCGTTTGTGCATAAATTAAAAAAAGGTATGTTTCATATTGCTTTATCCATCAGTTGCCTATGACCTAATTAATTCCAAAGAAATGGAGTCTGAAAAATGCAATCCCGTCTTGTTACAGATTACACTGGAGTATTCTAATGTCATTGAGGATCCAGAGCTTAAGATCTCCCACATTGCTGACTATAAGACGAAAGAAAAAACTTGCGATTATCATCCTCAATAAAAGAGACAACTTTTAGGTGCGCGGCCAGATGAGTTTGTGTTCGTAAATTTGTAGCATGGACGGAAAATCTTATCCACCACTGTGCGCATGTGCGTGTGGGGGCAGAAGCCCAGCAAGAGCACGGAACCTTTCTGTACAATTTAGCATTTTAATTTGCCGGTAATTCCAAGTTAATCAGAAAATCAAGTGTAACGGCAAAATTTGCCTCAATGGTGAATTTTTATTGGCAAGCCTATGGAGTTACTGGAGAGCTGGTGCTGCTGCCTGTTTCTCGCTCATCCGCTGCCCAATTCTATTTGTCAGCTTCAAAATCTTTTCTGTGCAGATAGATGCACAGGAAGCCTATGATGAAACTGATGTGTGTACCTCCTTATCCGTAAGAGACTTGGATGTAAAATCCGACACACAGTCTGCAAAGCATGTTTCCACCACATAAGCAAACAACGTAACAAATTGCTTGGCCTATACATTAGTACGGCGACACACCTGCTTTTCCTCTATCAGAGTGACCATTTGCTTCTTTTCATGAGCGGAGAGATTCTCAAAGTCCATCTGAGTAAAGGCTAGATTGGCTTTCTGGGACGAAAAGAATGGAAATTAATTTAAAAGTAAAATTAATTGGAATGCTGAAAATTAATTGAACGATTTTAAAGAGAACCATCAGCCAGTGGGCGAATATTTTCAATCAATTAAAGTTAAAGCGAGTCAAGATGCCCAAGGGGTTGTTAATGTCGGCGGAAGCTGATCCGCTAGCCCTGTGCCGTTTAAAACACACAATAACTTGGTATGCTCTGCATATTCAAGGTCAAGTAGGAGCTTTGGCGTGATCAGAAAATACTGCGATCCCAGAGACTTAACGCATTCCGAATTCGTGTTTGCATCGGCACTACGTGGCGCAATCGCATGCACAATTAATTTGTGAATGAGTCTCTCGTTTCGTGGGTCCATGCCCTGGTTAATTTCGTCGACAATCCGAAATGGCGACAGAGCATTCTGCTGCAGCGCCATTAGGTAAAGAATTGTAGTGACCGAGCGCTCGCCGCCGCTTTGCCGCTCAGAGTCCAATGGAACCAACCGTTCTTCAGCTCTGAACTTGGCCAGCACACTGATTCCCCAATGCTCAAATTGGAAATTTCCTGCTCGCTCTAAAGAACACGTCAACTTTTGATACATACTTAAAAGAACGCGCCCTTCGCAGTTTATCGCTTGAAAGAAGGAAGAAAAGCGGGAATTTATCCCTTCAACCATGTGGGTAATAACCTCTATCCAGCTTCCTTCAATTTCTTTAAGCCGGTCATAAAGGACATCTTTCTCTTGGGAGCATCGAGACACTTTTTCGTTCAATTCCGCAATCTAGTTCTAGGAAGGGCCACCTCTTACATGTGCATTGCGAAGTTCCCACTCTTCAACAGTTTTACGGGATATGTCTGCAGTAAGAGCGGCAATTGCCTCCGCTTCAGCAATAGCACCATCAAGCTCATCCAGTGACTCTGGGAGGCGTTCAAAGTGTGTCTTCGTTTCATCCGTTAATGGTGTCTTCTTTGCTTCTGCAAGAAGGCTTTTTGCAACACTGCGAGCCGAAGCTAGTGCTTGTTCTGAGACTTCCAACGCATCATGAAGCTGCGCCAAAGAAGCTTCATTGTGAGCTAGCGCGGTCCGAGCTTCATTAGCTTGCACTTCAAGGGCACTTTTTTGTGCTAATTTTGTAGCTGCTGTCGCCAGTAGGCTGGGGGCCTCTGCTAAGACACGTCCTAGCTGCTGAAAAAGTCGTGCTTTAGTTAGATATGCATCCGAAAGCGCAGCCCTTGCTGCTGCCAAACACTCTGTAGATTCCGTTAGCTGCTGCTGCACATGTGTCAGCTCTGCCCTCCGCAATCCTGAAATTAAGTCAAAGGACATTCAAAAATAAAGCCACCGAATCAAAAAGGCAAAAAGGAGCGAAATGAAAAAGTACCTTGGATGCGGGCGATGGAGTCCAGCGCATCAATTTCCAGCTGTAAGGACTTACGACGCTCAAGAAGTAGCCGATAAGTAGTTTGGACACCCTCGAGTGATGTTCGGGATTTTTCTTCCTGTTCTACCAGTTCACGCATCCGTCGTTCATTCTGCGCCAATTTCTCTCTATTAGTGGTAAGAAATAGCGGAGCCAGCGTACCTAGATGTTTTGACGATCTCCTCTGAAGCTCTTCTGGCCTCTTGTCCAGGATCCCTTAACAAACGTGCCGGACGAATTGCCTTTGAAATGACTACTGGCGACGAGCCATGTCCGTTGGAGGTCCGCGAATTGGTATGCCGCACTTCAAATGCTTGTCCAGCCGCATAATATTTGAGAATCTCGCGATGTTTGTCCACGGCAGCATGATCGACTGTGCCTAGAGCCACGGGCTAGCATTAGTGCAATTATATACTTGGATATGAATCTTGAATTGGTCACACAAGGCAGCAATGACAATGTCTGGCGCATTAATAATGTCGCGCAAGTAGCAATCAAAGTGCAGCCGTTCAATAATCTCTTCATGAGAAATAAATGGGCGATATTCTTCCGGCCGAGACTTGATGATATGAATCGCGTTGATTCGCAGTCCCATAGAATCGCTGCATGAGGCTAGAAAGAGCTCGTAATCAGACCCATCTTCAAAGACAAAGCTCATCATTGCTTGCTTTGAAAGTGCAGTCTCCAAAATGGCAGCGTAACGTGGATCTTTGACGATAAGCTCAAGACAGATCGGCTCAGATACACGCCCACTAAACCGCGACCTGTGCTTGCGGAACCACTCTAATGCCCGAAAGGTGTCCGGATCTGATTGTCGTATCAACTCAAGTCGCACATGGTCTTGAGATCCTGCCAGCCTACATGTATAAGAAAAGCAAAGACACAAGATAAAGTGGAATAAAGAAAAAAATAAGGAAACAGATACAGAGACCGAAAAAAAGTCAGAATTAGCTAGGACGCTTACCTGGAGAGAGCGCCATTGATTTTGCGTTGAAGTTCCGTACCCTCTGCCTCGATATCAGCACGGAGGTTTGCGACGTCTTGTATGGAGCTCTGAAGGCGGCGGCGACGCTCTCCAGCTTCTGTAAGCTCTGGGCCGAGTAACTCTAGAGTTCGCTCATGTTGGTTGCGGCTTTCGCTTCCTTGTGCCTCTTGCACAGCAAGTGTTTCCAACTCGGCAAAAATTTCCTGAGATCGCTGACGAAGGGCCGCTTCACGATTGCTGGCATTTGTTAGTTGCTCTTTGGAAATTTCCACTGGATTTGCAGCCAATCGACCTTGCAGAGCAATTCTTCGCTCCTCCAGGACATCTAGTTGACACCAAAGGTCGCTAGTATGAAGGTTTTCCAATTTGTTCAATAGCTCAGCTAATGACTCTCTCAGTGGAATGATGGCAGAAGCCGCTTGATTTGAGATTTGCTGGGCACTATCGCGTTGCGCTTTTGCTGAGAGAAAAGTTGTTCTCGCTTCGTTATACTCAAGCCACGGTCGTTTGGCCTTTAGTAGTGAAATGTGCGTTTGATGTGCTGCATTTGCCCGATAGCGTTCGACCTGCGGTAGCAGGTGGCTATTTGTTGCGGACAGGGTGGCAAGTTCTTTTTCTATTCCCGAAATTTCAAGCTGTGCCCGCCGTAGTTGTTCACCCATGTCGATGAGGTGTCGTTGCATGGCCAATGTTTCTGGCGGTTCAATAGCTTCTGCAGTTGCCACCAGTAGTTCGCTTTCTGAAAGCCGTGAGAATTCTGAAAGTCGATCTTGAGGCAAGAACTGACACAAGTTACCAAGGCGAATGTTGAAGGTAACTTCAACTAAATCAGCGATAGCTTCTTTGGTAGCGCGCGTTCCGTCAATAAACCATTTGTCTGTGGCACGTGCGCCGGCTAATGGGAATCCGCATATGGAGGAGAACTCTCTTCGGATGGTGACCACGGAGCCTTCTGCAGGTGACCTGCACAGCGTAATCTCGATGGTTGCCGACTCCCGACCTTTTTTTACAAAGCTTCCTAAATGGGAGGATCTTCCGAGGATCTAGGCATCAGAAATTATAATTGTGGTCACTTGTGTACCAAAGCCGAGCCCAAGCGCAATTGCCGACACAATAGAGCTTTTTCCAGAGCCGTTTGGGCCAACAATCATGTTCATGTATGGGCCTGGACTGAGCTCAAGCCGGTCGTATGTGACAAAGTTTACCAGCTGCAGGTGTACGATGCCCCCGGGTGCATATGCATCTCTACAGGGTAAGAGGAGACAAAGTTACAGCGACCCGGGCCGCATTCAGAATTTAAAATTAAGCACTACACCACTGGCCACATATGATGTGGCCCACGTTTCCCTCCTATGCTTAATGATTACGGCCACAAATGGGTAGCTTGATTACAACTGTAAATTTTCATTTAAACCACTACTCGCTAGGCCGCGGGACAAAGGGGGCCGGCGGCACATAGTGCGGCATCTGTGCTGCAGAAAGCGGCGACGTCAGACTGCCTTTGGTCGGTGGCTGATATGCGGTCTGTGGCGAGCTGGCAAGCGAAAATGCACTAAAGGGGCCCGTTCCGGAGGTCTTATTGCTACTGTTATATTTCTTCTTACCGAGATCAAACGGAATGTATTTGTACTTGATCATATGCTTGATTTGCCTTTTCATTGTCATTGCAAAGAGCAGTATAAAGTATACCAATAGAATGGGCCAGAAGACGGGGATATCAAATATTGAAAAGAAAGAAATGCAGATAGAAAGGATTATTGCGGTCGTCACAGAATGCCAAAAGGTAAATTCCGGAAGGCGTCTAACAAAGGGGCGGAATTCGTCGTCATCTGTGTCGGCTGTACGCTGATCCATGCCAAAGGAGGAAACCGTTGGAAGCGCCGGGCCAGACTGGTCAGACAAGTCGGCATCGTTATCAAGTTCGCCAGATGGATCGAATTTTGGCGACAAGAATGCCAGAAAGGCGTTCAACAAATAAATCCAGAGACCATAGGCGATCACATACCAGCCCTGAGAAATAATTACCCGCGCCATGAATAGTGTCAGCAGGATTGCAGAAAGTGCCCAGCGGGGCCCATAGTATGGCTGCGAACGTTCTATAAAAGCCGAGGCTCTATAATAGAGCCGACGGAGAAAAACCTTGAGTCCAGTGCTGGGCTTGGGGGCAAGTGGCGATCCGATGTGCGGTCGGATCAAAAACGAGCTGGAATGCAAGGCATCTGACTGCGGGGGCGCCCCATACTGGAAGGGCGCATGTGGCTGCTGATGCGGATGGGGAGGCGCGCCGTACATGAATAACAATCGAATAATTTGGATTTAATTCTTGAATTTAATTTAATTTAAATTTTAATTTGGTAATTTACAAAACCACCCGATTAAATACCGGATGGAAAATACTCGCATTTTGCAGCAGGGCTATTTTTTTACCCATGATATCTGCAGACCTTTGCTGGGAGCTTGTTAAAGCCAATTCGTGCTATGTTGTCCGCCGCGGCGGATGCGAATTCTCATCAGACCCGAAGAACCTGATGAATCTTAATGCTGCAAAGTATGTCAGCCTTTCTTCCGAATCCTCCTTCGGACTCGCTGCATCTACCAAGGGCAAGCTGCTATTGACCCAAAAGAGCGGATCAAAATTCGAGCGCTTCCCACAATCGAGCAACCAAACTGTCTCACTTGTCCGTGGACGAAAAGCGTCTATCTGCGCCGTAAGAAATATCCTAGCCAATTCTGACCGTGCCGACCTTGTTGATGCCGGTGTTGCCCGCGTGTGCGCCATCTTCAGAAGCCAGCGCACCCCAAAGCCGCTCAAAATGAAGAAGCTTCGCAACGGCAAGCGCAACTAGCTCCCCAGCCATATGATCGTAAAAAGTAAACTTCCAAATCTTTCATTGCCTTGGCATTGACTTTTGAATTGCAAATTTGTAATTAAACTTTCGTGGGAATGCTGGAGATCAATAGCTCCCTGCTCGGAGCGCTTGCCAGTGACCTTCAGCATATTCTTTTAGAAACACGCAAAAAAGGCGCGTCTTATCCGTTTAGAGAGGTATGCTTTTCCGCATCACCGCAGGTTCTGGAGCGCGTTCACACGGCTTTGGAAATGGCCCGCTCCAAGAGATCCACATTTGCCGGCAGCGGCCCAAAGGGGACCAATGACCTTTTAGAGCTCTATCCCGCTCTGAATCAGGCGGCTCTGACCGAAAATCCGAAAGTAGCAACGCCAGCGGTCAGTGCCATGCAGCGGCTTGTGGCTCACCACCAAGTTCCAGACGTACGGGGTACCGCTCATTCCTAGGTCCAAGTAGCCGCTCTTGTTGACGTGCTTTGGAGACTGCGCGGTGGGGTCCCCGAGATCCAACTGCGGATCCTACAATCATTGTTGCCATTAATTGCAAACTATTCAGAACAGATCCACGGCGAGCAACTTAGACTGCTTTTTTCCATTGCTCTTTTCCTTTATGGAAACAAGAGCTCCGTGCAGATGGTTCATCATACTGCCGTTGCTTCCATTCGACAGCTTGCTACATCTGTCTTTGAGCGCGTCGAAAAGAGTTCCCAAGTCACGGGGAATTCTCACACAAATACCCAACAGGAAAATGCGGTTTCACTGCTGAACATGGAAGATGCCACTGCTTTTCTCAAAGTAGGTATATATCCTAATTCAAGGACCTTGCTTTACGAAGCGGCGGGCATCCCATGCTCTTTCTGCACGATCTTTGCTTGGACCTGGAGCTTGCTTTAACCCTGCTCATAGAAATTCTCGGCTCCTACGCCACGTTAATTCGAACATCTAGTGCCCTGTTCGCCCAGGTCGAAGGTGTGCTCTCACCTGCATTGGAAAAGTTCCTCGCGCCCGAACACTACCGCACTGTGCTCAGTCCTGCAGATAAACACTACTTTTCGCTGCTAAGGTTGGTCTTATTAGACTACGCCCCTGTAAAGCGGATTGTGCCTACGGAAAGCGCAATTGGAACGGTACGCAGTACACCTGAATGCGCTGACGGGTCCCTCAAGTCAGATGGGCATGGAAGTCCAAATAATCATGGCAGCATTGCACGCCTGTTGGAGCTCCTCTCAACATGGCTTTCCTCGGCGCACCCTAACCACACGAGACTCGCCTTGGAACTGCTAGCAGATATTTTCCCGTCCATTCTGACACATGAAAGCTTTGCTTTGCTTCTACAGGCGACGATCTCACTTATCCAACAGCATTTGAACGATGGCGCAAATCACAGCGATGAAGATGACGCAAATATGCAGCTCGCGCTCCAAATTATCTTTTCGCTCTTTGAAACGCTCGGCAACATGCCCAAAGTTGCCGGCAAATCGACCTCTTCGGCTGCGGAGTGCTCGTGGCCCACAACGTCTGCCGACAGGCATTCTTATGCTGCTGCTGCCTCTTTGGCTACAACATTGATTGACAGAGGCTTTGTAGGTGATGCGGAAAACAGGCTTTTTCGTACACTTTGCGTGATGGGGTTCTGCTCGCCAGGACCTCAAACAGAAATTGAGGCACTTTGGGTCAAATGGATTGACACTTGCATTTCTGATGCCCTTTTTGCAGGCGCAGATATGGTGCTCGAAGTAGTTGAAATTGCCCATTCCAATCTGTCTCCATGGGCCTGGCTGAGGGTCCACATACTCTACCTCACCATCAAAAGAGCCTTAGTTGAAGGAGCAACGGTTCCACGCCAGCTTGGGGAAATTGTGGACCACATATATGGACGTCCAGAAATCATTTCTCACCCCTCTTTTTTCGTCTCGTTCGCAGGAGATTTACTGGGTGCTCTCCTGAGCGAATCTAGCAGCGCAGAGGGTTTTGGATCTGCTACCGGCCCTTTGCGTGCTCTACCTCCGCTACCATCTGTAATTTTTGAGGATGTATTGCTGCCATTAATTTTCGGAACAATGCTGCCACTGCAGCATGCTGATGATGGTTGGATTTTGCTCGCACGGTCCATTTTTGTTGAAATGGTGATACCTCATCCCAGTGGTCACATGAGAGATTCATTTTTTGCGGCCATGGTGGAATATTTGACCAAAAATTTGCCATCGAGTCTTGCTCGTGCTTTGGAAGTCATCGCCGTGGTCATGGAGAGTGTTGACGATGAAGTAATGCTCTCAGCAACAATTGCCCTCGCATTCCAGTTGGTAGATGATGGCTATATCGCAGGTCCTGGAGAAGGCTGCCAAGAATGTTGTTGGGTAGGCCCATGGCCAGCCTCAACAGATACCTGTCGTCCTATTGATGCAGCCTACATTCCTGCACTTACCAACAGGCTTTTTGGAAACAATATACCCAGTTGTCATGATGGTCCCCAAAGTTGCATTGACGACCTTGAAGGCTCTTTTGCTAGCCAAACAGAAGGGCCTAACGCAATGAGCCATAGCAGTATCGATCAAAAAACTGCATTGGTGGCATCATCCGCTTGCCATATAACTGCCACCAGCTCGTCAATTTCATGCAGCTGGGGCCGCCTGCTTAGTGCCATCAAAGCGCTATTACTTCGTGTCCTAGAGATGCCGTATCTTTGCGCGCTCGTTGAGCGCAAGCTTGTTCCGTTACTTACGACGATCTCTCAAAACGATGCGCTTTCAAAGCTGGCCGCTGGCCATTGTGCCGAGCTGATCTCGAGCATTGCACTGGTACTACATTTGCCCACTATCGAGCTGAACACACAGATTACGCTGCTGGGATTGCTCTGGACAGTTTCTGATGAAATTCTTTCTCGTATTGCAAATAGTAGCTCTACAAAGACGAAGGCCGGAGCTTCTTCAAATAACAAGACAGTGCAGACAGCTGTACAGTTCACCCCCCAAAAGACGGTAGACGGCATTTCGCAAGAAACTGCCGTAGTCGATCTTCAATTGCATCTTTATGGCGCATTGGCAGAAATTGCGGCAGCTTCACTGCGACTGCCTGTCCGGGAGGGTGCATTTCAGATGCTTTTCAGAGCCATATCTTTGCATCAGCGACAAGGGACTGCGCATTGGACAGCCATTTTTGAACGGATTCTAATTCCATTGCTATGGCGGCTACCGGCAGAAACAAAAGCAGATGGCGGATCGGCTCTTGTCCTCGTCGGCGTTGAGGGAATTATCGATATTTTCGTCATATATGCTGCGGACCTGCAGAGCGCCTGGATTTCTACGATACTGCAGGAGATTTTCGTACCCGTAATGTTGAATGGCTCTGAAAAAATGCGCCTAGCATTACTGGGCAATCTGGTAACGTTTGTGACGTCTATAGGGAGCACGATACAAGGCCGTGCTTGGAGACAGAAGACATTATGTATTGTTTTTGAGACTTGGCTTACCATTTGTGATAAGGTACACGAAGGAAATTGCAGAACAACCCATGTTTCTGGAGCAAAACACCGCGCAAAGACGGCACCACAAGCCCACGCATCCAAGAATGTCCAGAAATGTCCAAATGTATTCAGGACAGATGCGATGTTGGAAATGGTGCGAGTTTTCCGGGAAATTTTCATTACATCCATTGGTGGCGACCGTGTGGCTGGGGATGAATGGGAATTTCTCGAGCGCCTCTTTAACCAAGGGCTTCCCGTATTGTTCTCTATTTGTATCGAAGGTGGTTTTGGCGAGATGGGAGAGCAGACCATTGAGGAGCTTCACCGGAACTATTCGCCGGCCATGCAGATGGCAAGCAGGCGGCTAAGGGATGCTGTCTTACGAGTTGTCGCTTCGATGATCGACTTTTTGTTGCAAATTTCGGTAGAAAACGAGAATACGGCCGTGAAACTGGGCCGAGCACTTTCTTTATGGCATCTCAATCTTGTACAGAGGCTAGTGGATGATCCCATCGTTTATGAGTTGGTTGTGTCTCTTGAACGCTTACTAAACGAATTCGGACAGGTGTACAGACCCAGCAATGATGGCGACAAAAGCAAAGAAGATCAAAATGGGCTTTGTGGTAATAGAGACGATAGAAACGCGGGCCATAGATTCCCCTCTGCGGGTACCAATACCAGCGACCAAGATCGACACAAATTGGCATTGGTACGCGGTCTTCATTGTCACGTTCTTGGGACAACGGGAGCATTTTTTATCGTACTGATGGATGGCCTTCAACGACTGTCGCAAGGGGAACCCTTACGGAGTGTCACTTTTAACCTTCTACGGCTGTTGCTGTCACAGATCGCGCAAATCCTAAGATGGATGTTGGATCATGGTTTGGGGCCATCCTTGACTGGCGATATGGGCGAAGCCCTCTTTGATGCGTCCACAGCAGCACTTAGAGCCGCTGTGGATGCTACCTCCGAGCGAGAGGAGGAGTTACTCGTTACAAATCTTGATCTGATGGTCGTTGATTCAGAAGAGATACTGGGGAAATGGATCTCCAAAACTTGTTTGCATCGATATCTTTCAATGCTGGTGCGGTGTATCACATTTGCGCTGGCACCAGCACGTCATAAAATTGGCGTGTTCAGGGAACGGCTCGCCTTGAGAGCACTTGACAATCTTGTGGCAATGATGGATGGCACACTACGACATTCTGCACTTGCCGCAATCGAAATTTTGTTGACTGAAATTGAAAATGCATCGACTGCGCCGCAAGTGCTGGCCTTCTCAACACTGCCAGCTGAGCGGTATGCAAATATTGGAAATAATTTTAGGATGCACTCTGTGCCTTTTCTCATTTCGCTTCTTTTTCGGTTGGAGGCGCTGGGGGCTGGTATTGACGCCCTCCGGCCATTTCTCCTTGCATTGTTAAGGCACTGCCCCGATGGGCGGGTGCGCGAGGTTTCTGGCAGTCTGCTTACGCGGCTGTTGAAGGACAAAAATTAAATTTCTAAATTCTGCACACAGACAAAATTAAACACTTGGAGGCTAATTTTAATATGTCCACTAGCGATCCCTATGTGATGCATCGCGAGGGACACATCGGGTGTTTCCTGGTACGGAACGATAAGACACGAGCCAGTCTTTTTTATTTAACCCAACTGAAAATTATCTTCCAGCGGCAGTTGCCCAAGATGCCACGGGAATACATTGCGCGGCTCATTTATGACCGGCGTCATGAAAGCATCATCCTCCTATCAACTCCAGAGAAGCTACTGCGGCCATCATCGGAAAAGCCTTGTGAAGACAACATGTTAGATGCCTCTACATCTCTTTCCGTCGACTATGTGATGGTCCGCGAAGAGATTCCTCCACACGCGCTCATGAACCTAAGTGTACTTGGCGGTATTACGCTACGGCGTTTCGGGCCTGACCGCCCGTTTCTAGAGATCGTTTTTTGTGCCATTTCATCTGCCGAGCAGGTGCGTGGCTACGGTGCATTCCTTATGAGCGTCCTGAAAAGCTGGGTGCGCACCACCTACCCTTGCATCACATTTATGTTGACATATGCCGACAACTACGCCGTCGGGTATTTTAAAAAACAGGGCTTTTCACGTCAAATAACGCTGGATAGAACCGTGTGGGGTGGGCTCATCAAAGACTATGATGGTGGCACGTTGATGGAATGCCGCCTGATCCCAGAAATTGTAGATTACCTCTCCATGCGACGGCTTATTGGGTGCCAGCGCGAGGCACTTATGAACGCCATTCAACGAAAAGCGTCTGAACCGTTTGTTCGACATGCGGGGCTTGCCACTTTTCCGGTGGCAGACCCGTCTTCTATTGCAGGACTTTCCGGGAGGCCGTGGCAATCTTCGTGTGAAGATGGACAACACCCGCTGAAAAGGCCCCTTTCTGTCAAGGATGCACTTGCATCATTGCTGGTTGATCTTCAGGTATTTTGTTTTCTGATTCTAGACGCATCACTCAGCATGGCCGTTCCTTGAGCCGGTGAAAATCTCAGATGTGCCCGACTATCTTAGCATTGTTAAACAACCGATGGATCTCAAAACAGTTGGGACACGTATTTTCGCAGGACATTATGTTAGTATCGAGGAATTCGTCGAAGACGTGATGTTGGTGTTCAACAACTGCCGTGCATATAATCAGGAACATACACCATACTACAAGTGTGCAAATGTACTTGAGTCCTACTTTCGCGACCGCCTCAAGTCTCTATAATGTGGCTGAATGTTACCCTCGCCGCCGCTATGTGGCCATTTTGAAGGCACAACGGGTTAACTGGACGTGCTAAATTGAAGATTAAACTTTATGGTCCCCTCTAACCCTAATTTCCCACAAGCGAAAATTGCAGACCTGCTTTTAAGTTTGGCGATTTTTTTGTGGTGCTGCCAAGCTGAAGCTCTCAATTGAGGGGCATATGTTTTATGCTCCTCGGGAAGGTCTGAGATCGCCTGCAAACTTGCCCGAGAGGGCTTCCGCCGAGAGGCGGAACAGGTCAACAGAAAAAAACTCTGCCAGTCGCTATAGCGGACGACCGGAGAAATCCGCGACGCTGCTGCTGGCAGTGCTGGAAGCACCTGTGGCAGTAGCTCGATAGTGCAATATGAGAGCTTTTGCATCGCAAGATGGAAAAGAACCCAATTCAGACTACTCTCAGCTTGGCCTCTATTTTATTATTGACCATTTAATTAAATAATTTTCGGTAATTTTAATTAATTACATGTCTATTCCCGTGGAGTGCAGAGGCCTAATCAAAAGAATCCTAGGCTCCGCTGCCCAGGTATGTCCCCGCGGCCATTGATGTGTTGTAGATCCATACTGCTGTGGCTGTAAAGATTTATTATGCAAAGCCGGACCCGAACGCATGGACCGATGTTGCGTTGGTGGGTGCGTTGACTCTGCTAACGGAGCCTACCTCGCAACAGCTGGTCCTGAAGCTCGTCGACATGGAGGCGGAGATGGTTCTTTGGCAATTTGCGTTGAAAACCTCGGTCGACTATGTGCAAGATCTGCCGTATTTCCATTCCTTTCCCGGAGATGTATGCGACGCGCGCTAATTCGATAGGATTGTATGATCGGCATCTGTTTTGCAAAGACGCCAGAGGCTGTCCAATTTTACGATCTGGTGCACAAAAAGCTCTCAAATGCCACCGGCAGGCCTGCAGACAGATCTGTGTCTGCACCCGCTCCCTCCAGCAAGTCGAGCGCAGCGAAGCGACCAAGCATCGGCGCACCGCTTGGATTCAAGTACTTGTAGCTTTATTAACACTCGATAGACACTTGAGCCATGTTGGGTTTGATCCAGAGAGCGGATTTAGCATGGAAAACATTCCAGATGACTGGAAAACGGTCTTTTCCAATGCCGGTATCACTCAGGAACAGCTCCAGAACAAGGAAACTGCGACATTTATCTACGAATTTATGAACAAAAACACAGCTCAAGGCCACGAAGAGAATGAGACGAAACCTTCTTCCGCGCAACTACCACCCCCCTCCAAGCCGTCCAGACCTGCGCCAAGTGCGCCTAGAAAGCTCTCTACGCCAAGCGTGTCTGAACAAGTCCCTGCGCCAAGCGTGGCTAGACAAGTTCCTGTGCCGCCGCCTATGGAAAAAACCCGTACACCACCCCCACCGCCCATCATGACTACTGGGACTAGATCTCCGCCACACAGTGGTTATTCGGAGCGAGCTGACACCACTCTAGCGCCTGCAACCTCGTCAGGCTTCAGCAGGGATTCGCTGATGGATAGTATCAGGTCTGCCGGTGTCAAGTCTCTTAAGGCAGCACCAGCATGCCCCCCGCCTCCAAGCACTAGTGCATCGCAGGCACCGTCCTCTCCCACAAACATTATGGCGAGCCTCCTCAAACAAGCACTGGATGATCGCTCAAAGCGAATGATGAATGATTCGGCCCCCGGTATGACGCCATCTTCAGATGAAGACTGGTGAGAAGCATCGGACCGGACCGTAACACACATAGTGAGCCATTTTGTAATACACGTGACATCATTTTATCGCGCCTGTTTTTAGTTAACTTTGGTGCCATCACGGCGCACATGATGAGATGATGCGTTGGAAGGCCCGGCGATTAATTAGCTTTAACATTGCAAAGTTTACTGATAGAATTTAATTCAATTCCGATCTCACTCCTCTTGCAGAAGATGCTCCAGATCCCCAGGAAAGAATTTTGCTTTTGAAGTAAAGCGATTTTGCGCCCCTTGAAGACACACTAGGAGCTTTCTTTTTCTCGGCAAGCTCTTGCGAAAACTCGCGCACGCGTGCAGACATCAATTCATTTGCATGCTTGTTGAGGGAAATTGTCGTACAAAGCTTGCTCTTATCGTCAAGCAATCGCTTTTGAAAGGCTTCAATCCTGTCCAGCTGTGTCTGGCAATATGATATCAGCTCCATAGATGATGAGCTGTTTTGAAGCAGGGTGGACAGTGGAAGAAGATCTTTTCCGCCCTCGGGGGAAATGTGGTTGATCCTGGTGGCCAATGCTGCTATGGCTATGCCGACAGAGTCCGATTGCTGCTCCCATGCCCGTTGCTGCTCATTGAAAAACGTGTACGTTTGGGACAGCTTTTGCTCCAACTCTTCGATGGTCTTTGAATGTTGCTCGGAAAGGCTGGCCAGTTGGCTAGCATATGACGACCGTTCCGCTTGAAGAGTAGCCTCCCAGCCACTAATTTCTGCCCGGCTATTCTTGACTTCCTCAGCATGGTTCTTCACCACGGATTGGGAGCACTTGAACAAATCTGCAACGATGCATAGATTCAATCTTGGATTGGAGATATCTTCAGCTCGAACATATGGAAGTTTTGAGGACATCAAAGTCGTAATCAAGGCTGCTCTGGCCTCATAGTTGGGCTCCTTTTCGACGAGTTCGCCAATTTTCTGGCCATTTTGGTCGCTTTCAAAGATTTTGTCCAACAGCATTGCGTATATTTTGCAATCTGCCATATCGCCACCGAGGTTGCTGATTGGCTGGTCAAGACAAAGTATGTCATTGATCCAGCGAATCAGAATACCTTCTGCAGACAGGTCTTTCTGGGATGTCGAGGCGATCTTATCTTCTGAAGCAGGCGGGGATAAATTATTGAGACCGGACACATACCATTGACGGATCAGCTGCCAAACAAGTCCCAAAATCAGATGCTTGTTTCCAGACTGAATATCCTCGGCACCGATATTTACAAGATGAATGGAGCGGATCTTCTTTGCACCATCTAGGACAAGTCTGAGATTTTCATTCAAATTGTGCAGGGCCTTATATGACGACTTCATTTTCGATATCTTGATGCCGATACAAATGGATGAAATGGGGATCATATTTGGCTGGATGGCATTTAAAAGAAATGCCAGAACAACTCCATCTCGAAGAGAGTCGAAAAAGCTGCTTACTTTCAACGGTAAATATTTGTTTTTTTCGAGGATCGCAAACTTTTCAACCGGCAAGATGCAGTTGATGTGCCTACAAAAGGCCTCGCACTCCTCATCAAGACATGATCTATTAATTGGCAGAAAAGGTTTCTCCTCATTGGCAACATGAGGCTCCTCAGTGCGGCCGGAGATTTCCTCGGAGACATCAAAATGCTCATTGATGGCCAGTGGGTCTTCTTTAAGAGCGGGGGCGAGCTTTAGCGAATCCATGATTTTATTGACATCCTCGGATATCAAATCAACAGCCCCGACATCGGGCTCTGGGCATCTCTCAGCATGGCTGGAAACAACTTGTGCGCATTCAAAGTCGTCTCCAGAAACAGAAATCGGCTCAACAGTAGCGGTCTCTTGATCTATCGGAGAAAGGGGGCGTCCCATGATATTTAAAAATGCATGGACACCAATTTATAATTTAATGTCACCATGATGTGGCCATCTCATTCAAATCACCAACTTTCATTGCAGCTAAAATTTACAATTACCGTGCAGTTCTGAGCCTCAAGTGGGGAGGGGGAGGGGTTGATTGGTTTATTTGAATTTACTTGAAAACAAGGCCAGAATGCCATCGATCTTGTCGTTCTTTTGAGACTGGTTGTGAAGATGGTGGGTATGGCTGAAAATTGCCCTAAACACATGCATTGGCGTTATGCAGCGTTCTTGATACTCGCTTTTTTCCGATGTATGCAGGCGTGCTTGGTATATTGATCGTGCAAGCATTTCTTCAACAAATAGCTCGAGTACCTAATTTGTAAGCAATTACCGCATGATGTTACCTTTGAAAACAGCACGCCAATCGGGATAAAGTCGCTTTTTTCAAGCAGGCCAAACCGGGGCAGGGTTGCAAGCGGCTTTTTTGGCAAATTCTCCCAAATCCACCATATATCGATTGACTCTTTCTTTGAGATCAGAGGCTTTTGGGATGAAAAAAATACCGGGGCCAGCCAAAACCGCCGGAACTCCACATCCCTCCACAGTTCTCTGGGGAAATTCAGCCGTGAATTGGAAGACGATGTTTGCAGTATTGTGGATAGGTCATTTCGCAAAGGCTTCAGTGGACACCTCTTGTAATGAGAGGCCAAGTTTGACCCTGATACTTGGCTTAGCGGAAAAGGTCTGCCGCAATATCGACAATACAGCGCTTGGTCGGTCAAATGACCCTGTCCTTGCAAAGATAATATCATATCCTTCCAATGATCCCTGCTTGAGGTCTTTTGAAATACATCTTTCGAGAGCAAAGGCGAAAAATGAGACGCCGACCCCAAAGCAGCAACAACTTTATCGGCATGTGGATAGGGACGGATGTCACATAGCTGAATGGCGGGGTTAGTGGACCAAGATATGATTTGAGATAGAGGAATGGGGCTTTTTAGCCTCCAGTAGATCCTTGCAGCAAGGGAAATATTTTTGGACCAAATAAACGACACGGATTTTCTTTTATAAATGCTCCAAATGTCATGAAACTCCTTGGAAGACCCGGCAATTGGATAGTAGTAATAGGGATTTACTTTACAACACTCTCCCCACAAGGGAAAAATCGCAGGAAACAATATTTTGAGCATGGAATCCAAATCAGATGGTGTGATGTTTTTGGATTCTCTTCTAAAATACAGCAATGGAGGGCAAGTCTTTGAGCCTTGCGCCTGCAACGTGGGCGAAGAAGAGTCGATAGCTTGGATTCGAGGCGTCAGTATTTTTTTCCTTTTCGGAACCGCATTTTCGAGCTCGTTTGTGAGACTCTCTTCATGATCCTCCCTCTTTTCAACGACATGGAGCCCGTGGAGTTGGGACAAATATATGTTCTCATATTCCTCGCTTGTCTGAAGCGGAATGCGCCTGTCAATGGCGCAGATGTGCTCCTTCTGGAAGGCCATGCAATACGAGTAGTATTTGGCCTTTTCAAATCCGATGCCGACAACGAGCTCCTTCATCGGATGGCAATCGTTGAAAAAGAAAATCTCGATTTTAACAGCCAATTCTTGAATGGCAAATTTTGACAATAAAAAGGGAGGCCTAAATATTCTCACACTCTCCCCGGTATCCACAATTGTGAATGTCACCGCGCGAATGAATAGATGGATGTCTCTGTCCTACCATTAAAAACCGTGCATACTTCAGGGGGGCCGTTGATGAACAGCTTCCATTTGTACGAATATTGGTATCCATCATGGCTTGTATGTTCATCGGCCAGAAGCAGCTTCTTGACAAAGGCCCCGATGACAATTTTCTTGTACACATAAAATCTGCTTTCCTCGGTTTGGCCGTCCACCGTAGGAGGACTAGTTGAGCGCCTGAGTTCATTATCCATGGTTGTGATCTTTGCCAACTGCATATCTGAGGTGAGGACACGCTGTCTTTTCTCAAAAAAGGAAGTGGGCACTTCCGATACATCCTGGACTTTGAGCGTTGAAATAGACATACCACGGCGATGCCACACTTGGCAATGCACGCTTCGCGTGTATACAATTCCAGCCCATGTCTTATCCTGCAATGATTCTTCAGCCCAAGGATATTTGCAAACAACTCTTCTTTGCAAATGGGGCATACAAGCCTAAGGTTACACATTGATCAAAGCCAAACTTGACAAAAGAGCCGTCTGAAAGAATCTCATATTGAATTGTTCGGTCTGACCTTCGCTTTCTACTGTATGATGGCGAAGAGTGGAAACCATCTGTTTCTCTGGCGGAAAGTCTTTGTAGCTCTCCGCTGTCTGTGTTGAAACACTCTACAAATATAATAAACCAATCCGAAATACCAAGATATGCAAGTCGTGAAAGGACATCCAGAAGATTTTCTGAATACTTGATGCACTTGAGCAGCAGCATCTTTTCCTGGTGCTTGTATAGAATTTCGAGATCGATTTGGTGGGAAAGGATCCTTAGGACATTGTCGAGGTTTGCGTCTGAGACAAGAATTCCAAAATCAGTGTCTTCTTTGTGCCCATCTTTGGTCGTCAAAATACCATCCTCGCTATCATCATCGTCAATGGTGAGGATATTTTCCGAATAATTTTGGCCGAATTTGGACATAAATTCTGGAAACAAAGTATTTTACAAAAATCTTTACTGACAAAAATAATTTAAGATTCCGGGGTTTTCCTGTGTGCCTTGATCAAGTTTTCCACAAGGTATGTGTTGTCCGGGGCTCTTTGGGCTTTCTAAAGTAAAAAATGATCAGTCCAAATGGGCGCCAACATTTATCGAGCTCCGGCAGCTCGTGAGCGCGCTAACAAGAGAGGCACATATGCTGCAATCCACGCCCTGGGTACGCCAACATGCCAAAAGCGCAACCAATTCAGTTAAGCACGGCGTTTCCATGCCGCTTCGGTCCCTTGACAATCTGAACTTTTTAAAGTTCAAGCTATAATTATGGGGCTTCATCAGATTGGTTGGGGAAATCAATAGAAAGAATTCAAAAATTAATTGAGTTTACTCCATTTAAAAAATACTGACCGCATCATGAAATAGCCTCAAATCGTCACTGGATGCCAGCACGATTGGTCTGATGAGGACCGCCTCAAACAGCGGCAGCACGTCTCCATTTGTGTGCGAAATAAATACGCCTTCGAATTTGCACAAAGCAAGAATATCACCGTCGCAAACATTTACGCCGGGATCGATGCAAATCTTTGAAATGTCTATAAGGAGGAGAGACCCATTTCTTGCACCATACAGCTGCACCAATAGGAGCCTCTTCCTTATTTGTAGCTCTTTGATGGAGGCGTGCACTCTATAAAAGCAAGTATAGTCAACATCGTTTCGCCGCTTCAAAGTTATTTCATCATAAAGCAGAGATGAAAGAAAGGGCATAAAATTTAAAATTCAACCCAAAATTGGAGGGTTTGCTCACATCACATGCAAAGGGCATATAGGAAACCTCGAAATGAGGTACATTATTTCAAAACGACGTGCATTGTTTGAAGCTATTTTCTTTGTCATGGCGATGGAGAGGCCAACACAAAACTTGAGGGGGTCAATTTTTGGAACATTCTCTGTATGCTGAGAAAAAACCCTAAAATTGCATGCAAAATCGATCTGAAAACGAAATTTGTTCAAAAAACAACACGTTGGAATTTGATCGGATTTGTTACCAAATAGCCTCTTTAACCCTAAAAATTAATTAAATTTCAGGTTCAATTGTGGGCCAGCCATTCGATCATTCAGCCGCTGCTTTGCCACAAAAATGATGACCATAGCAGGGTTTAAAATTTACGGACAACTAACCTTTTATTAAAATTAAAAATTTTAGAAATGTTAGCCAAGATAACAGTATTCCACAAAATATGTTAGTAAAAGCTAGAGAGAAGCAGGAAAGAATATCAAGGGCCAAAAGATAAGCACTATGCACTTGAAGTCTCTTGAAAAAACATATAGAAGAAAGGGAGCACAAGATTATGGATGAATGGTAGTTCATATCAAAGGAAAGATATTCAAATATAGCAAAATAAGAATTGCACAGGCTAAGTACCGAAAATACAGGGTTCCATCGGAACAAAATGGGGCTTGAGTCTTCTCCAAAGTGATATGCAATCAGAAACAAAGCGGCAATAGCAATCAGGGCTACCAGAAAAAAAATCACTCCGTCAATGTATCTATCTTTGGATATTAAGACATAGGTATTGGTGGAATGGTGGAACCTTTCTATAAGATTACTACAGCTCCGGATCATGCTTTCAAGCACTCTATGATAATAAGGCATTGGGAATCACAGTACTCTGCTATCGAATGGAGCTCAATTGGCTGTGATGTGGAAAGGGAGTCTGAATCACATACTGAAGCAATGGTAAGTGCAGAAATTCTACGTCTAAAATGCAAGTAAATCAAAAGGCCCTACTCTGGGAACTTGAAATGCAGAGAGCTTTGAAAAAGCCGAGAGAAGCACATTTTGGCCAAAAAGCTTGCAATATTCAAAAGACCATTAGCCAAAAGACTAGAGGAAGATTCCCCAAGGGCTCTCCCTACGCAAGGCCCCTTAATAGACACCGGAATTTTTCTCACCTCACACGCTTTGATGATTACATTCACAAAATCCAGATTTGGAAGCAGTCCTCTTGGTCCGCCTATGGCAAGAACATTTCATGATACCAATGTCAAGCTCCAGCCCCATAATGGAGCTGCCTGCATTTTTTGAAAAATCCAACAATAACGCCCATTGAATGAAAGATGCTGAGATGGGAAGATAATTCGCCGTCCGGCCATTGTGATATTGCTGAAGGAACCTTTCAAATCCAGCAGCTCCCGCACCAGAAAAGACTACAAGAATGTCTTTAGACCATGGGACATCCTCTATAAAATTATTGAGCCTATTGGAATTACTTGATAGAGCCGAGACCAATGAAAGGATTAAGCTTGCTTCTAGGGCAAAGTTTTTGGACCCCATATTGGCCCCGAGCAAAATCGACTCTGAGCCATCAGATCGGGGCGCTTTGTACAATCCAATAATATTGACAAGGGTCAAGTTCTAAATAAAGAGCGAATCAGGCACATACATTTGATGCTGTCCACCGGTCCTCTTGGAATGCGCCAAAGCCCGATTTTTCAAATAGACTAATTATAGCCGCTGATAGGGGGTTTACATTCGCACTGTTGTTCTCATTTAATATTGACGAGATAATGGTCTGATACCCAGAAATACCAATGGCATCGGTTGGTTTGTAAATATTCCATGCCTAAATAATTACAAAGCTGTCATACATATTCGTTTAGCAGTGCCCTCTCGTCGATATAGGTTTTTTTGGACAAAAAGGGCGAGGCCAAAAAGAGCCCCACGGAGAGTGCAAATAAAATTATCGAGATCGCCTTTAAGCGAGGACGAACGCTGCTCTCCAAAAAAGTGCCAAGCCGGTCTAAAAGGGGGCTACCCATTGCAATGATGGAATGAAATGTGAAATTTTATTTATTTGGAATTTGTAGTTATCAGTGCTCGCCTTGACGCCTCTTGCAGCAATGGGGTGTCTATCGACTCTGGTGCAATGCTGATGTATCTTATTGCAGATCCGCGTATGAAACAGTTCTTAACGCTGATCTAAACACAATGAGCTGCGGCAACATACCATGTGGGGATAGGTGATCTGATCCGAGACTTGGATGTCTGCAAGCCTGATGTTTAGATATTGGTCGACATTTGTCAGCGTTCCTGTGACGATCATTCCATTCTTCAGTTCAACAGAGACGATCCCGCCAACAAGTGTTTTAAACAGCGAGTAAAAGATCTATCATCAAAAGGGAAGGCCAGGGGCCGCTACGTACCATTACGATGGTTGCAATTGAAAAATATAATTTAAATTTTATTAATCAGCATAGTCCAGATCGTCGGGAATTTCAAATTGGGCATTAAAATCGGCTTCAGAAGTGCCAAAATTATTGATGCAATACGAGCGCAGTGTAAAGATGTTGTCTAAAAATTAGCCGGCAAAACGCAGAACCTATCCAAATATTTACGCGCTTTTTGATTTCCTCCACTTCGATTTCTATCAAATGAGACTACTCGTATGCGTTGGTACTCTTTGCACGGAACAGCTCGGGATCGACCTCCTTATATTTATCGATTTCTTCGGAGAATTTTTTCCGCTGCGAGTCCAGATCTGCATATTGGCTTTGGAATGCCAAATACTCGTCCTACAAAACGATTGTCTCACAAGCATGTACGTACCGTTTCTTCCTTATCAATGCTTGCCTCCTCGATTTTACTTTGCATTTCTGAAATGGAGGACCTAATCTTTTCAACACTCTCTTCCAGTCGACTGATTTGCACCTTGCGCTAAAATTCAAATCAGACAAGCAGTTGCATACGCTTTGAATGGCGGTTGATGGAAACGACCAAAAGTAATTGGAGCTTCCGATTTTTTCTCGACACACAAGGTTGTCATCAACAAGAGACTGCAAAACCTCCTTTACACTTTGAGAAACTACCAAGTAATGCAACACCATCGACCGTACCGATTCCCTTTAGCTTTGGAGCCATTTTTTCAAGATCCCGCAGTTGGAAAAAGTCTTTCTACCAAAATAAACACCAAGTTGAAACCTTTTCATAAAAAAGGTCGCAAAGCCGCTTTCGCTTTTCATCGAAGGACAGTCTTGAAGACTAAGCTGCAGTTATTGAGCAAAGCTTACCATTTTAAGAATTAATTTTTATTTGCAAATTTTAATACAAATCCTTGCATTCCTACCAATCACCGTGGTGCCGGCTTATGATGTTTAGCAATTGCCGAATTTCCGCAACTCTATCGATCGATGAATCTTTATGTTGCTTTGGCTTATGCCCTGATATTTTTTGGACATGCAGTGGCGGATGACATTGATGATCCATTTTTGGTATCCTCCGGAGCCAAGCTTCAGGCGTTTGATTCCCCAAAGATTATAACTCTGTTTTCGCAGCCTCAATCGATACAATCTATCATACCAGATCGATCTTCAGATATTTCGATGGAAGAAAAGTGTAAATTAATATCTGCCGATAAGCAACAGCCATCGCCATCGTTATCGCCGTTTATGTTTATCCTTCCATCCTCCGAGGCGCCTACAAGGTCGTTTCCGTTTCCCCCTTCTAAGGCGGTTGTTACAGCTACAGTTACTTCTGCTTTTCAGATTGAAAATTTTATACAATCGCTTGCAATACTACTTGGAAGTGGGAAGATTTCTACATCTGCATCATTATCTCTTCCCACGGCAGATTGCAAGAAATCGCCTAAAGCAACCACCTCTGTCGTTCATATTACCAGCACTGTGATTAAAACCACGCAGGGGTGCTTTTTTCCTACTTCAACGATTCCGCTTGCTAGCAAAAATGTTTGTCCCATTTTAAGTGACTCTTCTTTATCCATTTCTTTGTCTTCAGTCGGATCATCTTCACATTCGGTCGAATTATTTTCCACTTTGGCTAAATCTGCTTATTTATCTTCGGTTAGGTCTTCTTCTACAGCATTCAGCTTGAATCCCACGCAAAGCTCGTTTACGGCTGCAACGCATATCTATCCATCATCATTACCTTCAAGTCCAACTACAGTTACCATTTCAGCATGCCAAGCCCAGATAAGTCAACAAAGCCAGATAAGTAAACAAGCCCAGATAAGCCAAGAAGCCCAGATAAGTAAACAAGCCCAGATAAGCCAAGAAGCCCAGATAAGTAAACAAGCCCAGTCAGGCCAGCAAAACAAGTCGAATGTATTTACCGCAAATTCCAGTCAAGACTATTGTCTTATGATTACGATTCCCAATGGCAATGGTCAAAATATGGTCATCCAGGTTCCAAAATCGGATAATAAATGCCTAATTTAAACACCAATCCCAGACCCAACCCTAAATCTCAGTGTATCATTTAATCTAAGATCTACTCGCCACCAGCGCCGCCTTCAAACCCCAAGTATTTCTGGAATTGGTCATAAAGAACAAGAACAATTGCACCGCCGGAACCGCGAAGAGCATTTGAGAGGGCACCTTTGAAGAATGACTTTGGTCCCTCTGTGAAGGCAATCTTCTTCCAGCAATCAAAGGTCGAAGAATATTGCTTTTTTTCCCTTCCAGCTTGCATCATCATACGGCGACGAACGGTATCAAACGGATATGACACAACACCTGCAATGGTTGTGACCGTTTGGGCAATGACCCATGAAAGGAAAATTGGTGGGTTTTTGGGATCTTTCAAAATCATCGATTTGAGCGTATCGAAGCCTCCAAAATATGCTGCGCGATAAACAATGATTCCGGTAACGGAAACACCAAAGCCGCGATACAACCCCTTCAAGCCGTCTTGCTTAAAGATATATGAGATGCATTGCCCAAGACCGGTGAACTGGCGGTTAGCACCAACACCCACGTCTGCAGCCAGACGAGTTCTAGCAAAATCAAGCGGATACACGAAAAGAAGAGATGTAGCGCCTGCAGCACCTCCGCTCGCCAAATTACCGGCAAAGAACTTCCACGGATCGGTCTTACGGTTCCAGCGAATGAAAATCTGCTTATATTTGTCCTTGAAGGCAAAGTTGAGGGCTTGGGTGGGGAAATAACGGATCACATTTGCCGTGTTTCCTCTCCATAGAGACAAAATTCCCTGTTCCTTTGAAACTCTGGAAAAGCAGTTGGCAATACCGGTGTATTTTTTATCTGCCGAAATTTGGGTTGACGAATCTTGAAGCTGGAGGAGAATTTTGACTCTTTCAATTGGAGCAGTTGCGGTTTTTGCAACACCACCGGCAACACCACCTGCGGCCAAGTCAATCAGAAAGGACTCTACGGGACTTCTTTTGGTCTTAACAGCGCTGGTGGGATTGGGATTGGCAACGAGTGTGGGGGCAGCAGACATTTGTAAAAATGCAATCCCTTATCATGCAAATCATCCAGGTATGTAATTTGCAAATTTCACTTTAAAATGATGGAGCTTCAATTTTAATTTTTCATTTGGAGCATTTTCAAATGGGGTTGGACCCCAATCAAAATCCTAGCCTCCCCAATACAAAGTATTCTTTTTTCCTATTTTGATGCCTTTTTTTGAAACATCACACAAAAATACTAATGCTTTATAGGCGTAGAAGACGATGGGACGAGTCTGCACCGACAGATACACCTCCAAGCTTGCCATTTATTGCACCCTCAAATAATGCACAGTCATCTTTCTCGATCGATCCTAGTAATGCAGCAAAAGAGGCTGCCGATAGGATCAATCAATTACTGTGCAAAAAAACAGCATCCCAACTGGAAGTTGTAAAGGATCAACTAGAAGAGCCAAAAGCTGCAAAGGAAACCCATCCGATCCAAAAATCAAAGCCAATCGCTAACGAAGAAGATGACATGTTGCCCTCGCAATATATTCATATAAAGGATCCGCTGTATGAAAATCCAGAAGCCTATTTCAGGGTATCTTTTTTGCTTTATAAGCTGTAGATCCAAATGTCAGCTCCCGATGAGGACTTTACGATGAAAAAAGAATTTTTCAAGAATCTCGAATTGAACGACACAAGGCATCGCTTTATTTTGATGCGTAAAGACATCCAAAGCAAGGTAAGCAGTGGTTGTGTTTTTCTAGATAATGGAAGATTCGGGCGCCAAGATTGAAACCAAGGGAAAGTATTATTCAGATAAGAGCGATTGTAATGAATATTCAGAGCCTCCACTGTACATCAGAATAAGTTCAGAAGTCTCGGATGAGCCTGTTCTAGAGGCATTGAAAATCATAAAAGTTCTCATCCAAAAGTCTCTTGCCAAAGATGCCAGCAAGCCACAGCTTTCCTCTTTTGGCTACGTACGCAATGATTTATCGTATTTTGTAGTTTGAGCTTAAAATTCCGATTGGGGTTCAATCAGAAAGGGGATTCAATGTTCGCTCGAAAATCGTCGGGTTTTCAGTATGCCGCTGCAATTTTCATCTTTTTCATAGGGTGCAAATATAAAAGCCATCAATGCCAAGACTAAGGCCCGTGTTCAAATCAAAGGAAGAGGATCTGGATATTCAGAAACGGACACAAGCATAGAGTCAAACGAGGATCTATTCTTGCACATAATGTATTGAGGTTTCTTCTAATTCCGTGTAGGGGTCCATCCCAAGAGTCCATCGAAACAGCCAGGAAGCTCTGTCATGATTTGATATCTGACGTCAAAAAAGAACTCGAAACCTACAAAAAATCTTCTTACTCGTCGCACAATAATCAACAAACCTCCTCTGGATATTCCTCTACATTGATGCAAACTGTATCTTCATCCTATGGGGTAAGCAACAATGTGCTTCCTGACGCATCGAATGCACTATATGCCTATTATTACCAGTATTACTTTAATTCTCTTGGCGAGGCCGTTCCCTCTGAATCGGTAAAAAATGACCCCGCAGCTGCTTTTCTTGAGCTTCAGCAAAGGCAGCAATATGCTGCCTATTATGCTTCGGTTGCTCTTAATTCTGCCTCTTCTACTTGTCAAGTAGTGCAGAATAGCGCCGCTCCCAAAGACGAGGAGATAGATCCTTTTGCTATTGGGTCTTCAAACGATTATAGGAGCGTGCCGCCGCCGCCTAACTTATATAAATAGAAGCTTTATTGAATTGGAAATTAAAAAGAAGCGTATCTCTAAGGCACTTAAATAAACGCCAGTTCCCAGGTGCAAAAAAGCATTTCGCTAGGTAGGGAAGGGCGCCATCAGCCGCTTAACAAGAAAGTGACTTTTGTACTTTTTCATAAACGACAAGGGTAATCATGCTGCTTGGTACGATTTTAAGAAAAGACGTCAAAATCCCCTTATAAAAGCCCCGAACACCCTCTCTAGAGTAGATGCGAGAAATTGCTTCAAGCATCCCGTTGTTATATAGTTTTCCCGTCGTGTCGCCCCTTGCATCTTGCAATCGAGATCGCAGCAGTTGAAGAGGATATGTGGAAACCGTGGCCGAAATTTTGGACAAAAACGAATAGGATGCAATCTCGATGTCATCTAGCTGCGCTTTTAAGGCAAAGGGTCTTAAGCCCTTTAGCTTTTCGTATGCCAAAAAGTACACTCCACCATGGAGGCATGAAAAAAGACCCGGCCCAAGGCCAGCGTAATATCCCGAAGGCATCTTAAACCCGCCAATTTCACCAAATAATCCTAGCGTCAACCGATTTAGCTTACTGAAATAAGATTTTCTTGAAGAGTCAAGAATAGCTCTGGTCTTCAGAACCCAAAGTGGATTCATTATTAATGTGCATATGGCTCCTTAAGCTTAAATGCCACAAATTACCTGAAACGCTCGATGATAAAAATACCGTCAAGTTGGGATACTTGTTCTGCAAAATAGACCCGAATTCTCTTTTAGCTACCCGGTACCTGAAATAAGAAAATACATTTACAATACAAAATAGGTTCCCCACGTACATGAGGCAGCAAAAACATTGCATCCAACCCCCTGGTAGAAGGACATTATTCCATTAGCCTTTATGCTTCTTTTGATAAACGAGAAGGTGGATTGCGAATTAGCCTCAAGTAGGTCTCTTGCGCGAATGCCATCGTGAACTAGACATAACGACACAAAACGTGATTACCTTGAAGTTTGACCTTGACATAGTCAAAGGGGTGGAGGACCATGGAAGCACATGCCCCCGCCGTAAATCCTGCCACAGCCTCGTTGGAAAGTTTTGCGAAAATGTCGTAACCCGTCAACTGAAAGGCAGTGACCATTACAATTGCTTCAATAGGTAACCAAATTAGACCTCAACTTGACCAAATTTTAATTTTACAATTTAACAGCAGCTACTGCTCACTGAGGAGGACGAGGCTCGACCCGTGGAAGATGCGAGGCTTATGTTACTTCGGTGCATTGTAGCCTTTGTCGATTCGTTTTTCGGCAGTAATTCGGCTATAATTAACGGCTTATCAATTACCAATTGATTCAAATAGCTCTTGGACATTTGATCCATTTTTTGCAGATGCCTCATAGAAAATCAGCCCATTATCCGCTGCAAATTGCTCTGCCTCTTCTTTTGAGACAATAGAGCTTCTGGATGTTGATTGCCCCAACTCTTCGATTGAGGAAAGCAAGTCTGCCTTGTTTCCAACAAGAGCAACAACCCTCTTCTGGTTATGTGGTGTATGTGCACGCAGTTCGTCTACCCACCCTTTTGCCCTTTCAAAGGAGGACTATTTGCGTAGAAAGTGATGGCCATCGACTTACTTTTGACGTCACATCGTAAACCACAACCGCAGCATGTGCGCCCCTGTAATACATCGGAGCAAGAGAGTGATATCGTTCTTGCCCGGCTGTGTCCCAAATCTCAAATTTGATGATTACATTTGGGTTGCTTTTAAGGGCCAGCGACTGGGTCAAAAAGGACGCTTGTCACACATAAGCAGTTAAAATAACGAACCTCCAATGGTACTCTCCTGATTTTCCATAAATCGTCCGCGAACAAACCTGAGCACAAGTGAAGATTTTCCGACAGCAGACTCGCCTAGGGCTTAAAAACACACTGCGAACCTAGTAACACCAATTTGTAATGATATGTAGGATTGCTCTGTGTAGGCGACATGATTAAAATTTTACTGAAGTTTAATCAATTTATTTCAGGACTCCCAGTAACATTCCGATAAAGTTTAATCCCGTTTTGACCTATGATAGCCACTCCTTTGTGCAAAAATCGCTATCTAGGTGTTCTCTCATCCTGCCTGCCGGTGGAAGCACATAAATTTACAAATTTTATTTTTTCAATATAATTCCGAGAGAACTTGGGCTAATCGAGCTGCAAAGGGATGAGAGAAGCTTGGGCCCCGCTTCGAATGGCTTTTTTGAAATCCTTATCTTCTTACTTGCAAACGCAGCTTTGATAATTTCATCGTCCTCGTCTTGCTCCCGTTTTAGTCTGGCTTCTGTTTCGAGCTCCTCTATTGTTTTCCTGTTGGAAATGCTTTGTAGCAAAGCATCGAGATCAACCTTTTCATGCGCTGCATTCAATAGTCTAACGTCGTCCAGAGCATCCATGATGTCAATCTCTCGCTTAGAATCAAAGGTCTTATTTTCAAGAGCCTTCATTGGATCGCCTTCTTCTTCAAGCGTCCGTAGCCTTTTCAGCTCCTCCGCATTTTTTGCCTCTTCTCGCCATGGTTCAAAGTTCCGTATTGCCCCATGCTCTGCGGCGTAGTCTCTATTTTGGGGATCGGTCTTGTATGTTATTTCTGCAGAACACATTGGACATCGTACGTAGAAACGAAAAATCTTGACACCCAAATAATCCTCTTCCCAGACGGTTTCTTTTCTGGCATTAAATTTCTTTCCTTTATAAATATATTCGGAACATGTAAGGCATTTCATAGAGTATGGCGCCATAACTCTTACTACGTGGCCCCTCCCTCGACGTGATGAGGGAAGTCCAACATCCGGGTTGTAGTTTGAAGGGATGTACTTGTTGATAACCTTCCTTTCAGACATTATTAAGGAATAAAATTTATTTAAAATTTAGCTCTATTTATTACAGAAAAAAGTGGAATCGACCGGGTTTGCTTGCCTATCAGCTTACATGCCTCACAGGGTCTACACTTGAAGCTCGTCTAGAGTCGTTTTGTATGGGTGTCAATGCCCGATTAAAGGGTAACGGAGAGGATGCACTGTTTATCGGCGACTGTGTAGATCCTCTTGACAGCCCCAAATTGGAAACAGGAGAGGGGGCCGAATTGACACTCATACTTACAGGATTGGGCTGATGGAAAGTGCCTCCGGAGGAACCACAGCTTTTCTGGATTTCCGCCTGAAGAATCGGCATATATGCCTCCAATGTAGAGATCAAGTTCTGGCAAATTGAGATCTTTCCGTCAAGCATCGAGAATGCAGTCTGCTCATCCTTGGAAATTTTCTCAACCAACTTGAGAATATTTGGATTGCTTCCTTGCACCTCACCAAGCAGCTTTTGTCTTTGTCTGACCAACGACTTGTTTATTCCATCAAATTCTTTGTCCCTCTCGGTCATTTGGGAAAACGATGAGCGGATTTCTTGCGGAAGGCACTCTACTATCTCCAGAAAGTCATCCAATTGCCATCCGGCATTCATCGAAAAATTAAAATTTAATGGAATTTAATATGGAATTAATTTGGAAACTCTCTTTGATTCTTGGTTCAACGGTTTTCCAGAAGAAAACGCGAGCCAAACGGCTAGGCCAACCACATAAAGGGATCCAGAAACTATAAATAAAATTCTCCATGCATTCCAGCATTGCAATGATATAGGGTCTGTGGAGCAGCCGCCAGAATTAAGAATTGCGCCATTAATAATGGGAACTATTATTCCGGGAATCGTGGCAATCGTATTTCCAAGGCCGCCAATGACACCAGGATTAATGGGATTCAAGTCAACAGGATTGGTCATAAACGAACCATGAGCAATTCCAGAGATGGCAATCGCAGCGACCAAAATGGCTGCCAAGGCAGATGCGGATACATAATTATAGAGCACAGGGATGAGGAAAATCAAAACTGCCGATGGAATTATGCCAATGGCAACGCCGTATTTTCGAACTTTTGTTACGTTCATTTTGCCGCTAGCAATGACGGCAGACGTAAATTTTCCACTTGCAGTCAGCGAAAGACATAAGAGGCCATATGCAGAGAACGAATACAAACCAGAGGTGGTTTCAGAAAATCCGAGATGAAGATGTAGGAATTTGACCAAATAGCTGACGAGAAAGTAGAAGGACCAGTTGTAGCAGAACAATACAATCACAAAGGCCCATACCTCTTTGTAAGAAAGTGTTTCTTTGAAGGTCAAGTCTTGACCAGGCGCATCGGACTGAGCTATCGAGGAGCGCTCCGAGTCTATCGAAGACATTGCCTCTTCTCTTTTATCTGATTCCGAGAGACGGCTTTTCCCAAAAAAGGTCCAAGAGATGGTCCATAGAATGGTGAGTCCGGTCAACAAATGGAATGGAGTATACCATTGGAAAGCAGAGGCAATTGGCGCGTAAAGCCCCTGGATTAAAGCGCTTCCAAAGTGCTGTCCGGCAAGAGCGAATGAAACGGCAAGAGACATTTGTGCTTTGGAGACCCAGGTTGAAATTATATTGAGCGTCGAGACCCAATACATGCCCTGCAAAAGGCCACAAGCAAAGCGAACAAGGAAGGAAAGTTCAAGGCTCGATCCGAGAATAGGGATCACGGAATTTAGCAAGGCAGAGCCTAAAAGAGAAAGTACCATGACCCATTTAGCCCCAAAACGATGGGAAAGGTAGCCGCCGGGGACCTGAAGCACCATATATCCCCAATAGAAAGCAGAAAGCAAAATTCCCTGAAGACCTTCGTCCCACCCATGCATCTTGGTTAAGCGCATGATTGCAGGGGATAGAATAATACGAATAGAATAGGCGAGGGTCAGGCCCAAAAAGCCATGAAGGACAATTAAAAAAGCTCTGGTTGTTTTACGCATACCAGAAGCCCCGGACTTAAAACAGAAATTATACTTACACCATTCGCTATTGGTGCAACCGTAATTTTAAATTAATTAGCAAAAATAAATTGAGAGTTTAAAAAAGTAAAGATCAGTGAAAAGTATTTTAGATGTGAAACGGAGTTGGTGAGCCTTTCGTTATTTAAAACAAGCACAATCGGTGCAATGTTGGAGTAACTTTAATATTAAACATTTATTCACAACTTTTAAAGGTTAAAAGGTAGCTCCTAACCCTGGCCTCAGCCCTAACCAAGGTTCAAACGGACACAAGTACTGACACAAGACGGTCAATGATCATTCGTGAAAGTGTCTCCGTGGTGAAAACGAGTTTCCCTTCAAACGAATCAAAAGAGGATATCTCCGAAACGCTCTTTCCGACAAGAAGAACATTCTTACAAGAGGATTTATCGTCCTGCAATGAAGCACCACCGGATTGCAGTATATATCTCCACTCGCTACTTGGACCGACCACAGCCCATTCCCCAAAACATGGAAAAGGAACAGATAAGGAATCAACGGTCCACTGCATTTGTGGTTCTGATGGGAAGAGCCTAAAAATAATATTTTTACGCCGATGAGTGATCGCAGCAGCGGCGGCTGCCAAAAGCTTTGCCGTCCTATGCGCATAGCTTGATAGATATTCAAGCGACAAGTGGAGTTGTTTCTTTTTTGTGGTAGAAAATAGAATTACAAGGGGAATTTCACTACCAGCCTCGATAGCCCTTATCAGTAAAGGCAATGTGGACAATTGTTTACCACATTGATCGACAGATGCCTTTTTCATTGTTTTACTCCCAGTGATACAAAAATAGCTGGAAACTACGCTTCTAAGTTTAGCAACGCAAGGTTTCTTTTTTAGAGTAGATTTGGGGATCTCATGTGCTTCCGAAGAAATCGAAAAAGAGGGATCAAACGAAACCGAAATATCCTTAAGAGATGAAATGGCGATCACTTCGTTTCCACAAAAAAATGAAAATGAGATATCGCCCAATTTTCCAACCACCTTATCGTTTGATCCCATAAGAAGCCCAACTAATTTGGCCTTCCTCCATCCGCTCGACCTGCCCTTTCTAATAAAATACTCGGATCCATGAGACAAACGAAAACCATCGATTTGCAATTTTTCGTCAACAAGCAAACGGCGGGTTGACTTTATCACATTTGGCGTTGATTCGACCAAGATTTCAATGAGCTCATCAGTCTGCGAGGTGATTTTGTAGCTTGTGCTAGAAGAAATGGGTGCTACCCATTTTTTGCCCTTTCCTACAAGTCTATATGGAGAAAAAATCGAAGGAATCGATTTGTTTGGAGCCCATGCAAGTCCGAGGCAAGAAAGTGAGCATTTCGAAAATTCCACATCTTTTTTATTGGCGACAGCCGGGTTTAGCGCCTCTACCTTTTTAACTGAAAGCCTTGCAAGTATTTCCTTACAGGTCTTTGAGGTTGATGAAATGGATGGCAGGATTGGTTTTGAGTTTCCTTTTTTCCGTATCAATGGAGTCGTTGGCAAGTTCGAGCTGCAGATTTCGGCATGGTCGCAAGATTTTTCAACTCTCCCTAAAAGTGAATTCCCAAGTATAAATTTTGCCAAGGGATTGTTCTCTGCAGGAGAGAGCGCAATAGATGCAGGCAAACAAGGCTCTGGAAAAAGTGAGGGTTCAATGTTCGAATATATCGCCTCTGGAAATGTTTTATCAGGATGGTCGATAATGGGAGATAAACAGCTAGGCTTGGCATAGGTATCGTCCAATCCAATTGAAGCAGTGTCCTCTCTAATTGAGATATCGTCATTATACAGGCAGGGAAAAGATGGCACATTAGTTTTACTTGGGGAATGACAAGTTAAAATGGAGCTGGAAACGGAATCTGCGTTGCATCTTTTTTGAATCGGGGTTTGGGAGATTCTTCTTTTAATGAGTGGAGTTTCGAGTATAACATCGGCTTTGTAGGGGGTTTCACGGACCGATTTCTTCGTCAATGGGGTGGTAACAATGTTCTCTAAAACCCTCAAGGGCATGTTCTCTCGCTGAGTCGATGCAATCCATTCTCCCGAAGATGGCATGCTAGCCTCATTTTCAGTGAGATTACAAAAATCGTGCGCATTCCGGTGCTGAGTTTCTTGAATTGCTTTGAGTGAACACTCTCTTTGCGTCTCCATGATAAGCTCGGAATCAGATTGTGAGATTTCCACAGAAAATACGCGAGAAGCCAAGGGAGAAATTATGCTCTCATGATGGGCACGTCTCTCTTGAAGAGGAGAAAAGTCGAGGATAGATAGGTTCAGCGAGAGAGGATGCGTCGTCTGCATGTCACTGAAAGACTTTCCATGGAGGCCCACTCCATTTAAAAGGGAAGGCTGCTGTTGCCTCCAGGGATACTCCTTTCCACTCAAGGAGACCAAAAATTCATCCACATTTTCGACAGACATCGCAGAGGAGGGATCCGGGTTTGGAACCGAATTTTTGCGCATTTGAGGTGATGCAAGGGATTCGCTGAATATGAGTTTCCAAAAATCGGCTGGCTTGCGCAGGTAAAGTTCCTCCGCCAGGGGTAAGCGGGTCGGTCAAGTTAAACCGAATTTAAGATTTTATTTGAAATGTTTGCAATGCTTGGGGCCACCCACCATCACGATTAACTTGTAAATTGGAGCAACCCTACGAAAGATTTTCAGCTTTTTATTGGTCATTGAATAGTTGCTAAATTGGAGGTGAACAAAGATGACAAACCTTGTATGCCCAGGTGGCTATTGTAATTGTTGATTCGGCATTGGCGCCCCGCTTAAGATGGTCACGAATAAATGAGCGCATCCATGGCGTGGTTAGTTGGTTCCGCAAAAGAACTTGGCCCATATCCCTACATTGAGAATTTGAATGGACAAAAACTCACCCTAGCGTTCCGATTGAGGCACGAATAGCCGCTTCGCTTGAATCATCGTCCTGGGAGACAGAATGAACCAACGAGATGACATTCGGCGCGATACTATTGAGTAGCTCCAAATTGTTAGACTCCATCGCCATATGGATGATAAATGTCCACGTGTGAAGTAGCTTTTCACGAAGCTCTGAAATATAGTCAAGATCATCTAGTGAATATCTTGGAAGCGTCGAAGCCACCGATTCACCCTCTACAAGCATCATTTGTATTGCAGATAGTGAAGGCAGAATGGCCGTCCCCATTGAGTCAATAATGTCTCCAATGGAGCTTATTGCTGTAATTTTGACATTTCTATTAAAGGATTCGTCCTAGAATTGAAAGTAAAAACACGCACGCACCTTTATAACTTCCAAAAGCGATGAAATGACCTCCAGACTGTAATTTGAGACCACATCTTTTGGGAGAGACCTGAAAAACTCGCCTATAATTCCTGCGGCAACGGAAATCAGAGTAGATTCTTGAGGGTTGACTGCAAACCCTTTACCGCCAATAACCTCCATAATCTTGGGATAAAAATATGTAAAATAGGAGGAGCTCTTTTCCTTGTCGACTGCAGCAAACAGTGCATCGATTACCATCAAAACGTCCTCATGAAGCGACGTATTCTTGCAACAAACGGGTGAATTTAAAAGCGACAGAAAGACTGCCATGGCCCTGTCTGAAATTGAGGATGAAGCTTCGCGCAATCGGTTGAACGCAGATTGTAAAAGCAAGCAGTAATTTGACTGGGCATCCGCAATTCGAATCAAATCGTCAAAATTAATGGCATTTCCGACAAGTGAAAGGGCATACTCAAGCTGGCCCAGAATAGACTCTGTCAGCTGAAGGACCATGGTCTCGCAATCCTAAATAATTTGTGATGCTGTGGGTCCTTACAATTGCAGCACTATCTATCAATGCAGACATTGCTTGGAAAAAGACGGAGCGCAGGTTTTGGTCATCAACATCTGCCCGCCTAATAATAAAAATCAAAAAAAAAGGCTACATTGAGGAATTGAAGAGAGACATAAAGCATTTTGGAAGAAAAGGAGAAAGAATGTTTGTGGGAGGAAACCCGGAAGCAGAATCCTCGGCAATAACTGCGCCGAGATGCATAAATCCCGTTGCAGCATGAAATGCCACTCGAGGGTGTGCTGAAAGCAAGGACTCCAATGTCGTTACCAGCGAATTGATATCAAGAAAAGAGTTGATGATGGCGTCATTTCGGTGAAACCCAGATGCTTGCTCGTTGCTGCCAATAGCAGAATTGCACAGTAGCTCGCAAACTCTTGAGATGTACCAGGCGGCAGATTCTCTGACAGCAAGCGAAGTGTCGTTGAGCACTAAAGAATAAAAAGTGGGCATGGCCCCTTGGGCATATTGCCGTGTATAAGCGGGTGGTGGTCCATCAAGAATCGATCCAAACGCCATCAGGGCCGCTTCACGGGCAGCCCAATCATCAGCTTTTGCAATGTTGCGTTCAATAAATGAAAAAACAGCCCCATTGCCAATTGATAGAAGCTCATCCTGCACACATCCCGCAAAGAGCGAAAGAGAGGTAGCTGCTGCCTTTGAGACCGTCCAATCTTCGCCATTGTCGCCCTCGCCACCTTCGTCGGCATCTTGCTCCTCTTTGCTTTTTACAAGTAGCTCTAAAAGTGTTGGAAGGACCAGCGGCGCTGCGGCCTTGGCAAAATAAAAAACGGGCGTCGAAGGGTCAGAATCGCGTTCAATAAGGCGATCAATCTCCGATTCGCATACCGTTGACCAGAATTCAATCGCTTGAAGAGCAATCGCGGTGCGGGTAACCTTCATCGCTTCGATGGTCGCAATAAATAGACCATGTGTCATGTACGAGGCCATATGTTGATAATAGAGTGTCATGATAGAAACAAGACACTCAAAAGCAGCAACAGCAATAGACTCGCATAGCGATTGAGTTGCTTCGCACACTACTGTCATCAGAAAATTCCGCTCCGTTTCATTTTCAAAATGAGTGGCCACAAACAAAAGGGAATTGTTAAGGGAAGTGATGGCGGCCAAGCGAACTGCACTATCGAGCTCCTCTTTTCTTGCCCCTTGAATGACGGCTGTGAGGATTTGGGAAGACCAGGGCGCTAGTACCCAGTGTTCGATATCTTCACACATGAAGCCGATTGCCTCAAGTGTGGTGCGACGAAGTGTGTTTGGACTCCCAACATTGGTTACATTCTGAAGTAACAGTGGAATTAGCTCTGGCCATTCATTACGAGGGAGTTCAATGCCGGCAATTGACGCAAGGACTTGGGCTAGTGTGGTTCCAACGGTGTTTGAAATATTTGCCGATGCCATAGTGTTGATGATTACAGACTTGATGGAGGTCTTTAGCGTAGCATCCAATGCTGTCCATCTCTGGGCCTGTTGGTTTCGTTTTATGGGGTCTTTTTTGGAGCTAAGGGAGTTCTTCAATGCCACGCCCGCGGCAACACGTAAATGCTGCTGTGCATCTGCGTTTGCAAGCTCTGCTGCAAGGAGCTGGATATATACACCGAAATTTTCAACCGATGCTCGCTCCAACGTCACCGTTGCAGATTCCCTTAATGCCTGATCTGGGGAGAGTGTATTTTGGAGAAGAAGAGAAATGTTCATGAATTGAAAATAATAAAATCCAAAATTGCATTATTGCAATGGCAACCCTAAATTAAAATCTAAATCCAAACTGAATGAAATAGGCATTTTCACTTTAAATTTCAAAAAAATCAATGTCCTTTATCAAGGCAATCAGGGGCGTGGCCATCCTTGATTCTCGTACCGGTTGCCGTCTGTTTTCGCAATACTACTCGTCGGCCACGTCGGACGAATCCTCTGGGTTGGACACTTTTACCAAGCAGAGGTCCTTTGAGAGCAATTTTCTCTCCTCAATCGAAAACTTGAAAAATGGTAACTTACCCTCCAATTTCATCCTCCCTGATAGCCACAGGCAGTAGTGCTTATTCGCAGCCGGACATTATTGTAATTGACGGGAATATTTCGATATTTCAGCTTGTTGCTCCTGATCTCGCTATCACAATAATTGGCTCCTCCGAGAACTCAACCAATCCTTTGCTATTGAGCACCCTCCTTAACACCCTAATAGAGGGACTTGGGGTTGTAATCCAGTGAGACTACCCAATTTTATTAAATTATCTAGTGGCGGGATATCATCTCGAAGCATTTTGGAATCTTTTGATGTTGTCAGTATCCTATTTGACGAGCTAATTGATGATGGCATCCCATTAGAGCTGGATCCGATGGCGCTCATTGGGCGACTTCCAAGGCGTAAGCTTCCGGATGGCTCTACTTCGGACACACCTCTGGCGGAACAGACCATCTCTCAAGCCATTCAAACGGCCAAGTTTTGGAAGGAAACCCTTTTAAAGTAAATACAAAACAGCCCCAACTGTGGCCCAATAATTAAAATTAAATTTGGGCCCATTTTTAAGTGCACTTTAAATGTCGTCTTCGTTTTCAAGAAGGTCTTGGAGGGATGAGGGGCCAACAAATCGAGCACAATCGTCAATGACACTTTCTGAGCTTGTTACTAAAAACCCACTAAATGGTCTTCCTATGTCTGTTGGTTGCTCTAAAGAGCGGGCATCCAGATATTTTGGCATCAGTAATAGTGTCAAATCGGAAGATACAGCATCACCCACGGCCACACAGACACCACCAATCCTCTCAAGCGCCCCTAGAGTCACTATCATTGATGGAAAGCTTGTTGTTGATGAAGAATCCCTGGTTTTGGATAGACCATCTATACTGGACGAGCATAGAGAGCGTGTTGAAGAGACATCCAAATGGACCACATCTGCCTCTTTTAGAAAAGCTATTCCTAGAAACAGATGGTCCAGTGAGGATACTCACCAGTTTTACCAGGCACTTCAGGTATTTGGCACCGATTTTGAAATGCTATCAAAATCGCTGAAGAGCCGGACCAGGTCTCAGGTTAAAAACAAATTTAAACGAGAAGAGAGAGAGAACCCAGCACGTATCTCTGCCGCCTTGATGCGAAGACTGTGACAAGGCGTCACAAATGCAGACTGTGAAGACGTATCACAGATGCAAACAACCCCAACGAAAGCCCTGTAAAATAAATTGCTCGAGCCATCTAAAAAACTAGATTTTATTTTCGGCCAAGGCCTGGTCGCTGGCTAGCGCCATCTGAACAATCTCCTTGTTTTCTATAATTTTCAATCCAGGGGTCGCCTGAATCGCCGAATAAAGCATTGTCTTAGCTGCGTCTTCAATATGAACGGTATATTTCATCGGAAAGAAAAACTCCACAACTGGATAAAAAAGCTTGTGTGTCAGGGCTTCAAACCATGGAGCAGTATCTCTGAGCTTTTCAGCGAAAAGGAATCCCGGTCTCAAAATCACTAAGGACGGGAAATCCAGGGCTATCACGTCTTTTTCAACATCTCCTTTAAGTTTGAGATATGCAAATGATGAAGAGGAGCAAGAATTCATCGAAGTGACGATGCCAAAAAAAGGAACACCCCCAGCACGCGCTGCGGAGGCAAATTTCACGGGAAAGTCATGATCAACACGATAATAATCCGCAGCGTTGGGTGATTGTTTCAAAGTTGTGCCAAGTGTGCTGAATGCATGCGTAAACTTGTCTGGACAATCAAAGATGGTTGAGAAATCAAAAGTGTTGAAATCAGATACTACTCGTAAAGAAAGTCGAGAAATAGATTCATCAGTCGCATCAAAGAAAGACTGTGGATCCTCCGGGAGGTTTCTAACGATCGCAGAGACGCGCGACTCCTTCAACTGTGGGCACCGTAGAAGCGCACTGACTAGTTGACGTCCAATTTGGCCAGTTGCACCGATTACAATTGCTTTCATTAAAAAGATCTCAAAGTTTAAATCAAAATTTGATCCATGTTTTTAAAATTTCAATAAAATTTCATGTTTTCAACTCGTTTGTAAATGGCCGATCAGCATCTAGAATCTGGTGTGGAAACAAATCCTATTTTGGATGCGTTCCATCCTTCCATCGATGCAAAGGAATATATGCGGGAGAATGAGGAAAATTTCGAGCTTCAGGAGGAGTCCCATTTAAATGACGAATTATACTCCAAATTGTTTCTGGGATGCAGTATCCTCTTTTTCCTTATAGCTATCACGATTCTTATTATGTCTCCGTTTGTAAGCTTATGATGAATTTTTTTTAGAGCTTATCTAAAATATCGCCTACCAGCAAGATATTTAATATGATAATCTCGCACTCGTCTCAACTATTCGCGGGTCTTTTTCTGACCAATATCGTTGGTGTTGGCTGTATTTACATCTTGTCTATATACACTTCGCTGTTTGTTTACTCGCTACTAGCTTCGATTCTGACTTTTTGGGGCGTGTGTTGCTGGATATTCTCCTATCAAGTCCCATGGTTTCTTTCCATCGTTTTCTTCATTGTTCCAATCTTTTTTTTAGGCCTTTACAGGAATATCGTAAAGGCGATTCCCCAGGCCATAAAGGTTGCCCAGTTGACTTGTCTTGTTGCCAAGAAAAATTCGTACTACTTGGCAATTATTTTCTGTCTGTGTCAAACCTTTACTCTTCTGCTTAGTGGCATTTGGTTTGTTATTTTTTCACATTCTCTGCTTCTTGGGTTCCATCATTTGAAAGACGCAAGCTTCTATTCGTTTACGTTTACTTCTGTTCTTGTTGGTGCCTTTTTGGTATTTTTTTACATTTGGACTTGCACCCTTCTTGGAAATGTCCAGAAAATGTTGACTGCCTTCGTGATAATCGACTGGTGGAGGCTTCATTCATGTGAGCTCCAAGGAAATACCTCTCCCACAGCGTCACTAATTAATAACAATCAACAGCGAAGAGAAGATTTCCTTTTAGATGCTACAGATTGGCTCTTTTGGATGTGGAAATCTGCGCCTGGCCAGCTTTGCTGTTCATCGCTAATTTTATCCTTTTTTTCGTTTGTCGAATTGTTTATTTGTTCATCCTTAAGCCTTTGGAAATACACAATCGGCTTCTTTTGGATGCCATTTTGGCTTTCCTCCTCAAATAGCTTTATTCATCACATAGTTCACTGGATACACCTCAAAAAGGCAGCGGCCTCGTCTTTGGCGTTGATTAATCTCGTCAACCAGCCAGGCTCTTCTTCATCCACGCTATCACTTTGCTCCTCATATGCCCAATTACAACGAATACTGCTCCATCATCAAGTTCACGTAGTTGCACCTGGACTTTTGCATTTGCTTTTGGACCTGGTTTCTTTCCTTGTGTCGTTTATCATAGCAACCTTTGTGATCTTTACCGACAACAACATTGAAATCAACATAGCTGTCTTTGGAATACTGGCCTATTGGATGCTAGGATCATCTGTCAACAAAAATCTATTTCGGATGATTCGTGATGTGGCTGATTGTATACTTTTATGCCATATTAGATCAGCTGACGGGCGTGTCTTGGACGGCTCTTAAGTAAGAATGACACCTTGTGTATTGTAATAAAAGAACAAAAAATGAAAAAGATGTTTGACATGTTTACTATAGCTGTATGTCTAATTTCTAGTGAGCTCGTTTAGCTTGCAGCTCCTCGACTCTTGCTAAGTGCTGATTATAAATCAGTAGTGACTAAGGTCGGTGATTAAAGTAAAAAGGCTTACTCCTGCTCCAAATAAACACAAGGAACCAAATGCATAGGCTGTATTGAAGCGTCCTTTGCTGAAGAGATCAGGTGCTGTGGCAAAAGAACGAACCGAAGATAAAGCAAACTTGCGCATTAAATTCTGTAAAAATTAAAACATGGTTCCACTGAGATTCGAACTCAGGTTACAGGATTCAGAGTCCTGGGTGATACCGCTACACTATGAAACCACGGCATATTATTGTAATTATAAATAATTAATCATTATAATTTCAATCCAACCCAATTCGCATCCAAATAAGCCAATGTTTATGAAATCTGCAAATATTAGTACTCCACGATGCGGACAATAAAGCATTTAGTTGTTGATTACCAATATTCTACCCTAACCCTAAACCATTACGTTGCCATTTATAGCTTTACCGTTAATATATCTTAGCGCGCTACCTCACATGTGTCCTTTGAAACGGAAACAAGAAAGTGCAGGTATAAATTGGTGTTAAATGTCCTTTAGTTCACACATATAAGAGGGAAACAACAGGGAGCTAATTCATCACACCAATAACCCTCCAAGATTGCGGCTTAAGAATTAGAACTGTTCATTATAACCGTTCATTAGATCGATGCAATCGATAAATAATGTGTAAAGTAACCCTTCTAAAAAAGCAAAAAAGAAGCTCCCTATTGCAAAAGATAATGTTAGGCAATAAAAATTGGCATTTCGATTTTGTTAGTAAATTTTCTGACAAGCGACCAAGCTCTCAAAATTAACACCCAGTTTATTGGCTATAAAAATGTAAATTAATTTTCTTACCAAATATTATCACCTCCAAAGTGAATGGCAACATCGGACCATTGTAGATTTCAGGTTTCCCATTTCTGCCATGGTATTCTCAATTCTTTTCATCATGTTTTCTTTGTTATCTTGCACGCTGGTTCTTGCTTTTTCTTCACAATAGCTTCAAAGGCGTTTTCATCAGTGTGTTACCAAAATTCAAGCATTCCTATGCCATTTCTCCCTGCACAACATTCATTTGGGGATTAAATGTTTACTATAATTGATATGCTCTTTCTTTAGCGTTAATATAGATTTCAATTTTATTGCGGCATGCTTACGCATAAACGAACTGTCTAAAATTTCTTTTTTTATTTGAATTTTCTCAAGAGCCAATATCAGAAGATGTTTCTAACGTTCCAACACTCTTTCAATATATGAACCCTTTGAAGAAAACTGAGCCATTTGCCCTCGATGTGAATATTCCCATCAACGTAACAGGATTCGATATTCAAATTCGCGAATCTGAGTATAAATCAACGTTAAGCCGACGTATTTTCACGATCCGCTCTATCCTAACTTGGATTACTCTTGCATTGGTTCAAAATTTTATAACTTTTTTTTGAAGAAAACTAAAACCTACCTATATGTTGGCATAGGTCTTTCTTGGGGTTTCTTCTATTATTAAGCTCACTCATTATATCTTTGGCCTTAAAAGCGATATGATCAAGTCCGCTGTGTTTATGGTTTTTCATAAGCATCATTCCAAAAGCTAGCTTTTATTTTTACGTGCTTTCAAACAATGGGACTAGGCGAGCTCATATGAATACGATAATAAGAAGCTTTGGTGCAAATGAGCATGAAGAAACCAACATCTTTTTAAAGAGATTTGTGAACAGCTTGGATACCAATGCACAATAAAGTCTTTCCCTCTCCTCTTGAAATTTCAGATTATCTGAATGCTTTTTTGGGTTTAAAGGCTTCTTGTATTTCCCTTTTAGCCGTATTTTTTAACCGTGTATAGCTTTGCAAAGTACGCAGTAACTCTGGTGGTGAAGATTCTAGCCAAATGAGAAAGCAAGAAAAGCGCGAGTTAGTTTGCATTATGACCTATTGCCTTCTTGATATACTTGGAAGGATTTTGCAGGCATATTTGAGCATAATTGAGCATATTCGAGAATATTTGAGCATACTTGGGCTATTCGAGAATATTTGAGCATACTTGAGCATATTCGAGAATATTTGAGCATATTCGAGAATATTTGAGCATATTGACCAGTTTTTGCTCTTTTTTGCTTATTGAAAGAAGCTTTGTTCATTTTTTCTATCTTTTCGTCTTAATGAAACAAGGTTTCTTGCACATTTCTTGCTTCCGGAATCTTTCGGACTGACAATCGGATTTTTACTGCCATGGCAACAAAAAGCAACACAAAGATACTCGAAAAGATTGGGCGCGTTTTTCACCCCGTGCTTCGATGATCAATATATGTGTGTTTCTGACCCCCGTGTTTTGATGATCGCTTTAGGCGCGCTGCTTGGACCCCTTTTCCACTGGACGATATCCCTGCTTCCTTTCACAAACAACACCATTTCAAGTTAATAAATTCGGAAATTGAATTGTTGTAAAATTTCAACCCTAAAATCCCAATTCTTATTGTATTTATTGAAGTTGCACTTGCATTATCAAGCGCCAATTTCAACTCTCCTCTTGCCCGGCTGATTCTTTGCTTTCGTGTATGCTTATATTGTATTATGTCTTCAAAAGTTTTACCTACTCCATTTAAATTTAATGCTTCGGCGACAGAACCAATGGTACCCTTGTTGAAGGAATTGCCCAACTCAGCAAGCGATTGTGCAGATATCCCGTCTTATCCAACACTTGATTTTCCCGTGTTCGTTGAGATCGAGAATTTTCTGATTGGATTTCCTTCTTTTGCAGACAATTTTTTGCCGATCGGAAAGATTGGTGAAGGTTTACACATCTTTTTACTCACAACTAGGAACATTCAGCACCGTTTATAAGGCCTTAGATCTGAACCATTACAAATACAATAACGAAACTTGGCACAAAGAAATCACTGATAGCGAAACCAAGAACAACCAGATTCAAGAGCTGCTTGCGCTTGAAATGTATGCTTGTTTTCCAGAACGGTTTTCCCATTTAACTGAAGTCTCCCCCAATTCAACGGCCATTTGGAGAGCTCTATTTCGCAAGGCTCTTTCTTTTTATCGCGAAAAAAACTGTGATCCCGTCTTTGTTGCCTTAAAGCGTATAAATCCCACAAGCTCTCCAGACAGGATTCTCGATGAGGTCTCTTTCATATCCGACGTCAGGTACGGAGGAGATCCGCCTTACTCTTACATTGTAGCTTTCACGAGAACATTGTAAACATTATTTCTGTTCAGCGTTATGAAGACCAGATAGTTGTGGTTACCCCTTACTTCCAGCATTCCGATTTCAGAGTTACATTTTATTTTAATGTCCTAGGATTACTACCAGACAATGGATCTCACCCAGCTTCAATGCTACATGAAAAGCCTGTTGTCTGCCGTCAGACGCGTCCATGATTGTTCCATCTTGCACAGAGATCTTAAACCCTCAAATTTCCTGTATTCATCCAAATCCAAAAAGGGTCTTCTGGTCGACTTTGGCTTGGCTCAAGTAAGAGGCTTTACTTGACCTTTTTAGAGATATTCTCCTCTTACGGAGCCGGCAAATTCTGCAGATTTACCTTCTGTTCCTTCTGAAAACCGCCATCCTTTGTTTTCGAGGTCCGGGTATTTGGTCAACGACAAACGCCCAGCATTTAAAGCCCCGAGAGCGGGGACACGTGGATTTCGCGCCCCTGAAGTTCTATTTAAATGTGCTCACCAGACTCCCCTGATAGACATGTGGTCGATTGGTGTTATTTTTTTAACCATCCTTATTGGCCATTATCCCTTGTTCAATTCATCTGACGATTTTGATGCTGCTGTTGAAATTGCATGTATTTTTGGGAATGAGGCCATGAAAGACGCTGCATTGTTTTATTCCCGGGAGTGGAAGTGTAACACTCCCTCGGTTCCAGAAAAAAGAGTGCCTTTTTCAAAGCTCGTTGAGCATTTCAATCCAAATCTTTTTAAAATCCTTCCAGATGAGGCCTTTGATCTTTTAAATCGTCTCCTTGCTTTAAAAACGTCGGATAGAATATCTGCCGCCGATTCTCTCCGTCATCCGTTTATTGTAGGTGATTTTGGCTCATGTACAAAAAATTTATAAACGACGTCAATTTAAATGGTGGTACCATCTTGGCTAATTTATTAACATACATAAAAGGGTGTTGTGTGCGCTTTTTTGGGGCTGCCCTTACCCTTATCCTTGCCTTTTGGTTTGAATTTGCCTTTGCCTTTTGTGTTGCCTTTGCCTTTTGTGTTGCATTTGCATTTCCCTTTCCTTTTCCCTTTCCCTTTCCTTTTCCCTTTCCCTTTGCCTTTTGTTTTGCGGTTGCTTTTGCCATTTGCTTTGGTTTTTCCTTCGATGGGATTTCCTCTTATGCCTATTGGAGGAACGATTGTGAAGTGGTATACCAGATTCTATAGAAATATTATATTTCTTATCAAGAATTGAGACATCATTAGGTGAACCCAATTTTCTGGCTCTACTAGGAGAGTTTGGATATTTCAATTGATTAGCATCAGAATTAGATAAGGACTTGTTTAGCAATGCTGTAATTATATTTAAAATCCTGAAGTTGTGCGGTAGCTGATGGATTTTGGATGCTTTTCTAGGCGATAAAGCGTTGGAACTTATTGAAGGGTCTGCAGTATCTAGTAAAAGATCGGTAGTATCTAGTAAAGGATCTGTAGTATATAGTAAAGGATCTGTAGTATCTAGTAAAGGATCGGTAGCATATAGTAAAGGATCGGTAGCATATAGTAAAGGATCGATAAAATTGCTAGGATGATGGGTGGCCTTAGCCAAATGATGCATAGAACTAACCGGACGATCGGTAACTTTAGCAAAATGATGTATAGAACTATCCGGACGATCTGTAGCATTAACTGAACGATATGCGGCCTTAGATAGACGATTGGTAACCTTAGCTGGACGATAGGCAGCCTTATCCAGATGATGCATAGAACTAGCCGGACGATCGGTGGCATTAGCCAGATCATGCATAGAACTAACCGGACGATATACGGAGTTAACTGGACGAGCGGTGGCATTAGCCAGATGATGCATAGAACTAACCTGACGATTGTTAGTATTAACTGGATGATCGGTAATATTAACTGGACGATCGGTACTATTAAGTGGAAGATCGGTAGCTTTAGCTGGACGATTCGTAGAATTATTCAGATCATGCATAGAACTAACCGAATGATAGGCAGCCTTAGGCAGATGATCTGTATCTTTAGCCGGACGATCTGTGGCATTAGCCAGATGATGCATAGAAATAGCTGGACGATCGGTGGCATTAGCTGGACGATAGGCAGCCTTAACCAGATGATCGGTGGCATTAACTGGACGATCGGTGGCATTAACTGGACGATCGGTGGCATTAGCTGGACGATAGGCAGCCTTAGTCAGATGATCGGTGGCATTAGCTGGACGATAGGCAGCCTTAACCAGATGATCGGTGGCATTAACTGGACGATCGGTGGCATTAACTGGACGATCGGTGGCATTAACTGGACGATCGGTGGCATTAGCTGGACGATAGGCAGCCTTAGTCAGATGATCGGTGGCATTAGCTGGACGATAGGCAGC